CTTGATGTATGTTTTTGTCTCTCAAACCATTTTTATCCACTCATAGGGTAACGAGTAAGAGCTGCAAATGAATCAAAACATGGCGCTACATATTATTTGTTTTGAGCTAGATGTCCAACACAAAGTTAGAAACAGTCCCGGTCACTTTCAGACAGTGAATAACATCCCATAAAGCATCTTGAAAGACCTGCTGCTCAACCCCTTGTCTTCCAAGGGTATGCGTATAATGAGTTGATGCACGTTGGGCAATTTCATGCATTCCAGTACACAATCACCCTACAACATCTTTGACAAATGAATATTTCTGAACGTTTAAAAAGTTGTGCATTGGGTTAAAAGAAGTCTGAATAGAAGGAAGGAAATGGCAATTAAAGCGGGGATTATGGAGCGAGTATGTAGGAATAGACACAAAATAAGGATAATGAAGATGAGTACAGAGGGACACGTCAGGAAAGAAACGATAGAGAAGTGCTTAATGTGTAAAAAAAATGCATGGGCACTTGGCAAAGATGGGGTGGCAAAGGACCTAGCAAGCAAAGTGATCTACCTGTTCCAGGAATTTTTTTGTTCAAAGCTGTCATGAAATTGATGGAACAGTCTGGTGCAGCTAGCCATTCTTGGAGTTTTCTCTCTTTGTCACTCAAAAAAATGTCTGCAAATACAAATTTTGAGCCAAGATTATTTGACACATTCTTTACTTACGGTTATAATTTGCATAGAAAGTACTGTTGGTGATAGAGAAGTCCGTTGCACTCTGAAACATCCTTTGAAAAAATTCAATATCTGGATGCAGTACTCGATAGAAAGGGCCCCAGATGTTTGTTGTGAGAGTGCTTGGTGGATGGAACAAATTGAAATTGCCGCTTCTTATATACAACCTGCGTGCCGGACAGGCGCCCAGCGGCAAGGGAAGTGAGCGTCTATTCAATTAGCTGTTGCAGAAGCCCCGGAAGCTGCTACTGAACCCGACAGTGTCCGGCATAGTGGCCTACATAAATGACGCTCTATTTTCGGCCTCGGAGTTTTGACCCAGGTTTGACCCCAAAAATTTGGTTCGGCGCTGACACTATAATGTTATTGCAGGCTGTTGCTCTGTGTTGACTCCAGGTCTAATTTATTCGAAAATGAACGCAATGACAATCCTGAGCTGATCCTGAATACAATATCTAAACAGCGCCGGCCAGCGGCAGGGCCCGCTACCCAATTGATGTCGACGCGTCGACGAATGGTTGAATGACTACACTGCTGCACCGTTCTTTTCTAGTTTTTCATCAAATCCATTTCAGAAGTTCCTGATAGATGATATTTCAATAATTCCTCATATTCTTTGCAAATATTCATAGAATCATTGTTTTTTGAAAATTTCTCATGGATGTTCCAACAGAATCTGATGCTTTGAAGAATCCTTGACAATTTTCCATAAATCTAATAAAGACGAATTTTGAAAATCCTTTCATGTTTGCTGGCAGTTGTCAAAGCAGGCAGGGAACAAATTTTTGTCCAAGTCCCAAGTCAAACTGGTAGTCAGATGATGTGGACGTATAAATTCCCATGCAGTCGAAAAATTTTTACCGCGTTGCTTTCCCTCTTGCCACGACGACGGGAGCCCATTTGCAGTCTCTGGTCCTCAAGGCCTCAACTTCAACCTCAAGACCTTGCTTTCCCTCTTTCCTTGCTGCAATTCTGTATATTCTTCAAGCCAAGCATTGTCAGTCTTATCTGTGAATGCCTACTACCTTCAAAATCTAAGTCTCACCTGTCCTCGTCGTTGCCCAGCATATTTTGCATCTGGAGTGGAACTTCAAGGTCATATCTAGTATGTTTATATATAGTAGCTATTGTAGAACCTGTAGTGTATAAGCTCGTCCAATAATATTTCCTTGTGTCTATTACATATAATGCTGTTGGAAAAAAGCAAGAGCCCAGTTGCAAAGAATCATAATTGCTGTTTTAGGCAGTGTACGTGGCATCATCTGTGCCGTTTTCTCATTTAAATATGTGAACAGATTCTCGAAAGACTTTGAACGGATTTTTGAAAATGTTGACTTTTGAAAATTCAGGCCAAATGTGTGCCTGCTCGTTCTTGGAAAATTTTTATGATACATTACAGCTATTTGCAGTACCGAAGGCGCGCGCAGATATTTGCCGAAATTCGCCGGATTTTATAAACTTATGAAGCTCTATCTTCCAACATGCATATCCAGCTCAAAAATCATTATTACGCTTAGATTCTTCTTGCATCGGGTTGGAATTGCAAAATACTAAGTCCTGAGTGAATCATCCATGGTGGTAGTGCATGTGGTTCAAAAGTTAGGACAGTTTGAGTCTTTCGACACCCGAACATGAAACTCTCAATGAATTTAGCAGACACAGCAACCAAAATGGACATATGATATTTCAGGTATGTACCTGAGGGCACACCAGGAGGAATTTGAGAAAATAGGGCTCGAAGACGGGTTGCAATGGATTGAAAATTTGAGGAAGTGGGTTACTGCCAGCATTCAACAATCTTAGACTATCTCATTGATCCAGATGGTGATAATGATTCTCAAATTCATCAATTGGCATAGAGAATTTGTTTTGAGGCTGCAAAAAGCATGTTACAAGGTGTAATACCAGCAAACATTGAATGCCACGTACCTCTTGTTGTGATCCCTCATTCCTCATCATAGTAGCTTCAAGCCTATTTAATGCTTCATATTCATCCTCTGGGGTATTGCGCTGACTTGTAATGGGTCTCATGAAATTTTGGATGAGTGAAAAACAGATGAATGGTGTGTGCGCAAGGGAGTGATAAAATTTCACATGGATCACCGCGAACTTCCATACTTTCAAATTCTTTGGCTTCAAGTCTTCAATGTAGCCTCAATAGCAGATGCAAGGGCACTGTACTAACATTTTGAGAGGTATTACAGCCCTTTCCATAACTATATGGAATTCGATTTTTTTGAAAACCTGTGAGGTTGTGTTTGGCAAGATCACATGTCAAGTTTTCACCCTCAGTTTACTTGCATGTGCTATGCGTTGATTCTCTGAAGATATGAGGGTTTGGGTACCAGTAATGTTTTGGGAACTGCAAGTTTCAGTGAAGAATATCTGCTACCACCTCGGGATGAAGAAATCTGTCATTTATCATATCCTTGTGCAGTATCGAGACCATGGATGACTTCGACCTGCCTTGTGTCGATAGGGCCGACCCTCTCTTTTGAATGACACTGATACTCACTATCTCTCTGCTCTCATTGATCTCTGACCTTGCATCTACTTGGATGAAATACAAGCAGAGCTAGAAAGATGTCACCGAGTTCATGTCTCAGTGCAAGCACTTGTACGTGCACTTCAAAAATTAAACCTATCTCTACTGCTTTTTTCGTCTTGGGCTTTGTAAGTGTATACATAGTCAGAGATACTGTAACTTCTGTCTCATGCGAGGTAATGTCCTCTTCATTCTCATCTGAGCTCGACATAGGGACTGAGTTAATAGAAACGATGTCGACAACGCGCAAATATCTATGAAAGCAGATGCACGTCTAAGAGAAGGTGATGCCAAACACAACCTTACAACTTTTCAAAAAAATCGAATTCCATATAATTACGGTAATAGCTGTAATACTTTAAATAGTTGTGACATAGGCATAATAACACTTCTTCCTATAACTTTTTATTGAAGTAAGCTAACCACATGGACGTTTCAATCAGGACTTAGAATTTTGCAATCGCAGGCCAATGAAATTAAAATCTCAATAAAATATTGATTTTTGAGCAAGATATCTATGTTGGAAGATAGACCTCGACAGATTCATAAAATCCGGCGAATATCGGCAAATATCTTGGCGCGCCTTCGGTACTGCAACCAGCTGTAAAAGATTTTCAAAAGAAAAACTGATGAAATTCTTTCAAAGAACCGTGCAGCAGTGTAAAATCCAGTGAGTAAAAGCACGTGGCAGGACATTTGATGGCAAAATCGAAATGAAGTTGAGTCTACAAAACCCTTCAACCTCTAAAGAGGTAGCGGGAATTACTTTCCCGTTCTCATCTGCAATAACAATGCCCACTTTCGTTCAACGCGAAGTTAAACACACTTAGAGGCATCAATGCACATCAAGGCTTATAAGGACCGTTTGCTGTTTCTATTTCCAACGCCGCAGCGCAGCACAGCGCATCCATACGCTTCGTACTGGCACAACCGGGCCCTACTCTCAAACCCGTTTCATTCGTAAGGCTCGAACCTCGCGAGTTACATGTCCCATTCTGGATCGGAGTATCTTCGGGCTCAATTTCAATAATCACAACATTTGCAAGTCGTATGAATGTGCATGCTATCTAGAATTAGCGGGCGAATGTGAAGCCGTTGTAGAGCATTAGTCTTTATCGCGCTCTTCGCTGTTGCAAAGCTTTTTAAGCTCTGCCTAAAGCCTTGGTTCTTCGTCCACCTACACTGAGTGTGTACTGCAACTTTGACCTCTTCCTCAATACACATGTACCCGGTGCAATTTACGATTCGGAGACCTGTCCTGCGACTATCCTAGACGCCGAGCAAGATCACTTATAGAACAGGCTGTTGTCTACCGCGGATGGATAGATATCAGGGTGACGAACGAATGTATAGCACGGATATTGGGCAATGCGATAGCAATTGGTCGCCACTAACAGTACAGCAGATACTCCGTTTCTACATTCACAACAATCTGATCGTCTCCTCTCTGACTGAAAGTTATTTTATGATCTACGTGTGCTATCATAGATGGGGGCAGGAATAGCGGGCTTGGTGCTGTCGATAAGATGGACTCATCTCGATCTCTCCCGAAAGTAGCACACGTTCCGACTCGAGCCTTGGTGTGAAGGTGTACAATAATGCATAAAATACAGTGCAGGCCAGTAAAATACATGTCCATACTAGTGCAATTATAATATCTACTGTATGTACAGAGGCATCGGATATATATCGCAGGAGACGGTGGAAATAAGAATACTTGTTCTAGTTTTTGAATTTTACATCTTCATTTGCGAGGTGAGCTAGTTGGTGAACCAAACGCAGAAGCCGGTCGATCCAGTCTATTCCGTAGCCGTTCTACTTCACGTTCAAGACTAGTATTGAGTCAAGTGAGTTATTGTCAAGAGATAGTACAGGATATAAGACAGCGTACTTGAGTGACTTTTGTTTATAATCAGCTGCTTCGCGCTCTGCACGCCGCTTGGCTGATTGAAGTAAGTTATCTTGGGTATGCTAAAAACCAAATGATGTCAGTCAATAAGATAATAGCGAAGAGGCAAGTATAACTGCACCAATTCATCCATTGACTTTCTCAAAGTAGCAAGCTGCATCTCATATCCTTTCCTTTCCTCGTCCAACTTTACCCTCTGACGATCGAGATCGAATTTGGAATCCCGAGACAATCGATGTGCGTGCCCTTTACCAGTGAGTTGGCTGGTAATCTCTTCAATCCGACTGTCAGTTTTGCGCGAGAGGGTAGCTGGTCGTGAGGTCGAAGCATAAGATTTGGTTTCAAGGTCGATTATGCGGACGTTGAGTTCTTTAACTTGATTTTCCAGGTTTGCCTGGTGGCGGAATATAGATGAGAAAAACAAACGATCAGTGAGAAAAATCCAAGCGTACATTGATACGATCTAGTTCAGAGTTATCAACTCGAACCTTGCCAAGCTCGATTTGACATTCATTCGCAAACGCTTCAGCTTTTTTCATGCGATCGAAAGCATTCGCCACTCTGTCTTCTTGCTCGTCCAATGACCTCTCCAGATCTTGCTTTTGTAGAAACAATTTCTGGAACTGTTGGTCCGTAGAAAGTTTGTGAGTATCGACGTGATCGAGCTTGATTCCCTCCAATTCAGCTTGTAGAGCTCGACGAGCTTTCTGGAGCAAAGCCCTATCTGCCTCGACATCGTCCAGCACCCCACGAAGTTCTCGAACTTGGGAATGGAGAGACACGATTTGGGATTGCTGTTCAGTCTGGGCGGCGGTCGACGCCTCGTATGCTTTGGAAACATCGTGAATCTTGGTTTCCAGTCGCTCCTTTTCTTTGCGCCATCCGCCACTGCTATAAACTTCATCGTCAAAGCGGAGTTGCAATTCATCATAGTCAGATCTGATTTTGCGATTGTCTTCCCTTAGGCGGGTGAGAGCGTCGCGTTGAGATTGAAGTTCTAGAAAAAAAACATGTTTATGGGCACATCTTTCCGTCAAAAGACTCCAAACTTGCCTTCGCTTAACTGGGCCAACTCAGCTGGGTCGAAAAAAGCGTGTGAGCAATAAATTGTCCTTAACAGTCAATAGTTTTGACATACCTTGGTACTTTTTCCGTGTTTGATTGCTAGCGAACTCGTGTTCTTCCAGGTCCTTCTGGTGTTGCGTCTTTTCGTCTTCGAGTTCTTCTGCAAGCCGTTGATTGAGCTCCACGAGATCAATGGAATCATTGCCTTCTTCCTGCAATTTCTTGTCTAACTCCTTGATTCGTTGGTGGGCGGCTCTTAGAAGGTCTTCGTTGGATTTCAATTTAGCGACAGTGTCAGTTTGTGCCTTTTCAATTTCTGACAAGGTTCGACGAACTACCAGACAGAAATCAGGATGAGGACAAACTAAAAAGTTGAGTACGCCTACCCGATGCCTCAGCCCTCGTGGCTTTCACACGGGCAATTTCTGCGTTTTCGAGGCGTTGCTGGTATGATTGTTCCTTGGCTTTGAAGGCTTCAGTGGTGGCGCGGAGATCTATAAAGATCAGATGCCGCTAGATTGATATAATTTGAGAATATAATACTGACCGGCTTGCATTGCTGAAGTTGTTGATGAAGCAATGTCATCTTCCATTTGTTGATTATGAATTTGACGTTTAAGCCCTGTTTACGAAGAATAAATAAGTGGACCTTTCGACATAAGAGACATTCACACCTGTTATTTCACTTCGTGCGACTTCAAGTTGAGCATTTGTTTCGGCCACTTCGGATTGTAACATCTTCCTGGCTTGCAAAGCTTCTTGGAGTTGAGTTCGTTGAGTTTCAAGATCAGATTGCATTGTGCGCTGTTGCAGGTGCTGGCAAGGCATGTTACATCAGAGCCACGAGCATGCAGGAAAAGCAACTCACCAAAGCCTTGCGAGTTTCTTCTAGTCTCGCATAACTTTGTCGTTCCTCGTCAATGGTCTTCTGGAATTTCGACCAAACGGCTTGTATGCCATCAATCTGAGCAGCCTCAGCCGAACGGCGAGCTTCAGCTTCCTCTTCGAGAAGTTCTGCCAGTCTCTTGTTCTCTTTGGCAAGGCGAGAACGGTACTGTTGCAAGAACTGTTTGGATCCGTCACTGTTCTCAAGATCAGCAGTCATTTCGCGGATAGATGTCTCAAGATGATGCCGGACGCGTTCAGAAGCAGCCATTTGTAACTCGAGTACCTGAACTTGCTGCTTCAAGGCAACGACTTGACCGTCTGAAGATTTTGTGATATCTCGAGGAGCTTCCCGCGAAGGATTTCGTTTCGATTTGGAGGATGGGGTAGAGAGACGGGCGTCATGTTTGGAGGATGGAACATTTCTAGAGGACAAATCACTTTTCAGTTCATCGTCAAGAAGCTGAAGTTCGTGGAGCAAGCGTGATTGGAACGTTGAATCTGATGGTCCGGTGTCCGTAATGAGCTTGCGGATATCTGCGTGCTGACGCTGGATACGCTCGCTCAATCTTCGCAACGCAGCTAGACGCGCGTCGTCCGACATACTAACCTGATCTTCCAGTTGCACTATGCGCGCTTGATACTGACGTTGTATCTTTGCTAAACTGTCCGCGGCTGGTGTCTCGTCAACCAGATGGTCGAGTTCAGCTTCCAAAGATTCTTTGGATTGCTGAGTAATGAGCAATTGTTGTGAAAGTTCTTCCGCGTGGCGGGAGGTATTCTGGAGCTCTGATTGCAGCCGGCGGACTTGCAACTCAACCTCTTGTCGTGCTTTTCGTTCCTGTTCGACGTCTATGACAGCTCGAGCCACTCGGTCCTCCTGGTTCCGGACTGCTTTTTCCTTTCCCCGCAATTCCATCCGCTCACGCTCCGTCTCTCGCAACAAATCTTCCGCCTCACTAGTAAGCCTAATTTTGGCTTTTTCCAACGATCGAATGTAGGCAGCATTCTTTTGTAGTTCCTCCTGAGCATCGGCGAGTTGGCGATCCGTGACTCGTTTGGCTTCTTCGAGAACATGAACATGCTCAACTATGGTCTTATCCTGCTTCGATTCAAGCTGCTTGATGTCCCATTCGCGGTCTTTTAAATCCTTGAGAGCTTTATTCAAATCTCGGTCTACCTTCACATTGTGATCTTTCAGCTTAGCGATTTCCGTTTTCTGGGCAGATAAAGCCTTTTCGACCTGAGAACGCCGCGTAGTTTCACTTTCGAGCTGTTTCTTGATGTTTTCGAGTTGCCTCTCCCTAGCTGTTTTATCCCGCTCGAGTTGAAGCATAACATCCTCAATGCCATGATACTTATTCTGCGCAGCCGACAATTGTCGATCTAAGCTCTGTATATCCGCAAATGAATGATAAGCAGTGGGGTATAAAAATGACAGGTTAAGTCTGCTTACCTCTTTTGCCTTTTGGACTTCTGCAAGTGCGGTTTCAGATTCAAACATACGAGAGCGAAGTGACTGTAATTCAGACTCCAACCCGCGCTTCCCTTTCTCTAGCTCAGATATGGCAAAATGTGTCTCAGCAACAGTGGACTGAGCAGCACTTTCCTGTTGGACTAGGTTGTCATAGGAGCCCTGCAGAGATACTAGATCACGAGCAGACTGTTCAAGGTCAACTTTAAGCTTGCCCTGGATTTCCAAAGCCGAATGGCGAGTGTCCGTAAGCTCCTGTTGCATCTTGACCACTTGTGAACGAAGATTGGTAAGCTCCAAATCTTTGCTTTTCTCAACCTCGTTCCGCCTCGTCTCTTCGCTGGTTTTGGTTTCGAGTAGGGTTCGAAGTTCATCAAGCTCAGCTTGTGATCGAGCCCGCGAAACGTCTCCTTGGGCACGGTCAGCTTTCTCAGCGTCTAATTCGACTGCAAGGGTGTCAAGGTCACTCTGTAGTTCGAGAATCTCCTTCGAAGCTTGCTGGTGCTCGACAGCAAGCTGCTCAAGCTCCTGTAGGAGTTCAGCAATGCGATCGTCCTTCTTCTGAATAAGGCTAGAGTAGTCGGTTACAGTATGGTCCATCTCAACAACTTGCTCTTTGGCTTGCCGAAGCTCCAGCTCGAGAGTATCTGTGCGTCCCCTAAGGATGTCCCTAGCGTAGCCATTATTAACATTAATGTTCTTTCAGTTTGAGCGGATTCGAAAACTCACTTGTTTCGCATCTCAACCTCAAGCTTGCCTTCCAATTCCTTCACTGCTATATCAGTGCGATCTCGAGCTCGGGATAAGTCTTCCTCTCGTTGTACAGCTAATCGTTTGAGATCTTCGCTGACTTTCTGAAGGGTCTCCAGATCATTGTGTAGTCGCTCGATTTCCTCGTTTTGATTGGCCAACTCGGCCAGGGTCTCTTCTTCGTGTAATCTCATCTGCTTTTGCTCGTTTTCTAGCCGGACCAGATGTTCAGCGGCCTGGTCAAACATGTCCCGCTGCTCAGCGTGACGTTGTTCACTGTCTTTGGCCATAGTCATTGCACGGTCGAGGTGGGACTGTAAGTCATCGATATCTGCTTGGAGTTCTGCGACTTCCTCCTCCAATTCCGCCTCGTGCTTTTTGCTCCTCTCTAAAAGTGTGTCTTTGTCGAGGTTAAGGGCTCTCTCCGCCTCGAGCTGATCCTCGACCTTGTTTTTCTCTGCTTCCAGCGTCATTTTCAAGTTCTCTAGGGCTTCTCTCTCTTGTTTATCACGTTCAGCTCGCTCTTTGTGGAGAACAAGTTCTGCCTCTTTCCGACGAAGTTCCTCGTCGCTCCGAGTAGCTGCGAGTAAAGGACGAACCTATTTGAAATTTCAACAGCCATCCGATGGGCAAGTACACATTCTTACCTTTGTATATAGCTGCCACCAAGGCCAGTCTCTTAATTCACCGTACACTCTTGCGTTACGCTGTATCGTTCGAATAGCGACAGCACGATTGAGTATTTTCTTGATTTGTCTTCGTGCCGTCCACATCCTAGCAACTGCCTGTAATTTCGAAAATAGATCGAACAGGAGCATGTCACGGCGTTCCTCGAGGTCTGCCAGGACACCAGCCTTGAAGAATATTTTTGACATTCCAATCTTGAAGATCGCTTCATCAAGCTCCAACGCACCGACCATTCTCCGACAGGCCTCACGACCGTCCATGTAACCTTTCGGAATGATACCAGGAGTAAGGACTTCATATCGTTGGCGAAATTCAACGAAGGGAAGTCTGTTTGGATATCCAAGACGAGCGATCCGAATACCTTCCAACACACCGTTGCAGCGGAGTTGGTCGAGTACCAGAGGCACATCAACACGCCCTGGCTTCTTGTTCGTATTAGGGACAATACAACGAACGAAATGAGGTTGCGTGGCCATCAGTTGACCCATGAGACTTGCGAGTTGCTCCTTATGTCGCTGCCCTACAGTCCTGAAGGCTCCTCTCTTGATACCTCGCTTCTTTCCAACAGAGAACATATTAGTTTGAGTTCCTGAAATCGGAGTATTGACGTGATCGGCAAAAAGGGAGGAGACATAACGCTCGGTCGAGGAGGCAAAGACTCGAGTCAGGTTATCATTCAACGGATCTTTGTTCTTTTCCAACCACCCATCTGTTCTGTATTCCACCTTCGCGGCGTAATGCTGCACCAAGAAACCCTGTTCAAATCGAGCAGGTTCGTACTTCTCTCTTCCAGGATGGCTTTGCTGGGGATCATCTGGATCCCCACCTACACCAGCCCATAGGCTGTGCAACTTGTGCGTGAATGTTGCGTCGGTGGCTTTAGGCATAATGCATTCCTCGTCAAGACAGCTGAGTATACCAATTGCCCCAGCGCTGCCACTAGATTCGATCAAATCGATAGTGGGTTGTAAATCGAGACCAAAGTTGACATAATCCCACTTGATACCTTCCCGTGAATATTCTTCCTGCTCTAAAACAAACATATGGTGGTTGAAGAACTGCTGAAGCTTCTCGTTGGTGTAATTTATGAGCAGTTGTTCGTAAGTGTTGACCTCGAAAATTTCAAAACCGGCGATATCCAGAACGCCAATGAAGGTAGATTTTGAGGAGGGTCGGTCCAGTGCTTGATTGATACGATCGACTAGGAGACCAAAAGATTTCTCGTAGAGTGTCTTCGATAATGCTGCAAGTTCATCTAGAGCCTGCTGGCCGGTGCGCGCTTGAGTCACCCATTCACGACCGGCAAGAACTCGCGGTCGAAGGACGGCTCGGGTAAATTCAACTGGCGGGACTCCAAGAAGGTGGCAGACGCGTTCTGCCTGGGAGGGATCTGGCATGACCGCGTCGTCAGCACGGGTAGACGTGACGACAATATTTCCTATATGTAGCACTGCAGCGACAATGCGAAAAAGATCATACTGCTCCGAAGCAGTAAAACCGACTACATCAAGTGCAGCTTTCAGAGCATACCACTCTTCCCGATCGTCGACACCGTCAACCTCCCGTCTGCTCTTGTTGAGAAATTCGTAATCCTCAACTCCGCCTCCAAGAAGTAGCTTATCTATGGGTGACAAGTCAGAGACAGTGGTAGCTGAATAAATATGCTCTTCACCTTTGAGATCGGATCCTCCAGCCAATAGATGATAGAATACATGGAAACTTCGTTCCGCTTCACTTCGGACAACGACGCGACTCTTCTCGAGGAGATACCAATCAATATTTGCCCCCGCAATACTGCCGTCCGGAGCGAAAGATATCCGTACGAACTTTCCGAAACGACTGGAATTGTTATTTCTCTGTGTTTGGGCGTTACCAAAAGCTTCCAGAATGGGATTCGCTTGTAATATCTGTCTTTCGAGGAGACCAAGCCTGCCCTTTGCAGTGAGTGCGAATCCACTGCCTGTCGTGGAAGTAGTAGACACATGTCCACGTTTCGTAGAATTGGTCCTTGGCAAACCAGTGGTGGGCATGGTCGAAAATGACTGTAAGCTAGAAAGAGTAGGCGAACGCGAATGCGAAGGGGTCGAGGGACCTTGATGTACGTCGGTAGCAATAGCAGCCAGATATTGAATAACTTTCTTCGTACTTTCTGTCTTCCCTGCTCCGGACTCACCCCTACCGGGGCAATGTGAATTGAGATGATACCATAGGCAAGTATAAATGTACTCACGTTATAAGAATACTTTGGTTCTCTCGTTCCTCACCCATATTGACCCATGCACGTTCGGCAACAGCGAAGATGTGGGGAGCATTTTCGTCCCTCCGTTTACTTCGATACTGATGCACAATTGCATCAGAGTATAAAGGCAGGCTTTGATAAGGATTGACCGCAACCAGGAATAAGCCCGAATATGTCTGCACAGATAGTCCTGAATGATTTGAGTAAAAGGACTGTGAAGGAACATACATATATGGCGCCTGATCCAAATCGCAGACGGAGATTATGGACGACGCTGGCTTCATTGAGAAAAGTAAGATCTGCGATGTCATCGACGCGATCGAACTTAGGAGGATTCATTTTCGACAGTGTAAACAAAGGAACTTTTCGAATCTGAAGCACCAAGATGAGCAAACTACTGTAAGGTCAGGATATACCACTTGCCTCCCCTCCGGCTGCCATTATAATATCACCATATTCACCGTCCTCGTTATGGACCCATCCTGCAAGATACCCCTCTTTGTCATCTGGAACCCAGACCCATTTCTTTTCATTGAACTCGGCCTGAGCTGCTGCTGCACGAGCCGCCTCTGCACTCTGGGAGTGCCTTGGTGCAGGCATACGAATGTGCAAGGAAGGTCTTCTCAATGCGTATACGACGTTTAATGGTCAAACTCTCGGTTGTTGACAGTTACGGGTGAGCAGATGAAGGAAGATCGTAAATGTCGTGAGTGCAGATTCTTTGGTCTACTTTGCACTTCTGCAAGAGTGACTCGAGGAAATACCCAAAAAAGAAAAGATGAACGCGTTCAACCGTCAACGCAGGATGAACCAATTGCCAAATTAGTAGATACCAGACGCAATGACGCTGATACAAGTGACTGTGGGAAATAAGTGAATTGCTACTACTTATGTACATACAATTCCAGTCGGGTTCACCGACTCAAAGTATTCCTGTCCAGGTCTCCACTAAGTCTATCACGCAAATCCCCATCTGTTCATTTGCAGTAGATGCTGCGTTCCCAGCAGATATCGGAATATACTGCTTTGTGATCATCTTGATCACTTCCTGCGCGACGAGTCCTCCGAGGAAAGCAGCCGTAGTTGGAAGATCGGCAGAAGGTGCACGAGCACTGCAAGATTATTTTGAGCACCGTCCGACACGTTCTCGAAGTGATTTCGACTTACATCTCACCACTAATGATAGACCAATCTGCCTCAGGAAGTTCAGTTCCAGGAGGTAAAAACGTCCTCACTTCAGCAGTCAGAAGGTCCTTGAGGTTTTTTTGATCCAGAATCCCTTTTATCGAAGTGTTGTTTGGTCCAGAAGTTGGATCAAAAAGGGGAAGAACACCCTGAGCCCTCAGTTTACGAGCTGCGGCGAGTGCAAGATGTATAGCAGCTTCCTTGGGATTCGTGGAAAGCTTGTCCGCTGCAAAGAAAGACCAGTGATCAGCTCTAGATTTGCGGAAACTATCAAAGGAGGCGTGTATTTCGAGAAGGGAAACCGGCTCACCCAAAAGCTCCTTTGATCCCGGATTGATATCCTTCCACTCTCTGCCTTTCAAGACCTTTAGAGCATGGGAGTTTTTGAGAAAAACATCTATAGTTACATCATCCACGTCAACTTGTCTTTTACTTAAATAATCTTTGAACACCTGCTTCTCCTTTTCCGATTGCGCCCTGTACAATTTCTGTAATTTAACATATTCTTCCGTGCTGGACTTCATGTCAGGGAGCGATGAAGTGAGTGGGAGCAGACCAGAGGTATACTGCGGTGAAGCCGGGTTGTTCTGAACAAATTGGGAAAGGGCCGAGATAAGGGCTGCGAAACTTGATGATGTCGAGGATGAAGGTTTCGATAATGAGTAGAGAGTGAAAAGCTCTCTCACTTCACTTGGTACAACAGTCGGCGTCCAGCACTTGAAAGCTTGCGCCTCAGCTTCTTCAAAGTTTTCTTCGTCGAACTTCCGCATCATCGCGCGAATGCGCTCTTTGAACGCTTTCTTCTCAGCTGAAGTGCGGGGACTACCTATACCCGATGAGGGACCAGTTACTGTAGCGATGGATCAGCAAAAGTCGTGCAAATATTTGAAATAAACGCGCCTTGTTCACGCTCGCGACGCCATTCTTCTAAAGCGCGAACGAGGATGACGGGGAAAGGAATGTGTGCGTGGTCCGTGATGTCCATGGTATCAAGCGGAAGAGACATTGCATATTCAAGAAGAGCAGGAAATGCCTGGTCAATCCGTAAAGACGCAGAAGTTTCCGAATGAGATTCGATGACTGATGATTGGTAAGTGATTCATGTATCCACAAGCCGATCGATTATTACCTTGGTGTTCCCGATAATGAACAGAAAATTCAGCAAGAAACCCTGCGCTGTTTACAACGACGAGATGTGTTTCTGGCCATAACAATGCAGCAAGATCATCGAGGACGTCCGAATCTACGTTGTGAGCAACGACAATGTTGAATGATTTCAGCCACCCCTGGTCATTTTTTAGTACTTCATCGATATCCCGCACGTCCGCAACGCCCTCGACCCCATCGTTCATTTCCACCAGTCCTTTGACTGCTTCCTCAGCTCTAGACTTGCCAATACTCTTTGAACCGTCCAGAAAGAAGTTGTTGCCAGCATCGGCCCCAGTAACAGCTTTATCATCCATAACGGTAAAGTGACCTAGTCCTGGTAGGACGAGATTCTTAAGAATGCTCGTTGCCGTGGCCGTAGCCGGAATGACCAATATACGAGCAGATTCGAGCGCGGCTTGTCCTGAGGCAGCCCAAAGTCGAAGTTGTCGGTCATATCGACGTGTTTTAGCATCAGGTGCTCCAGATGGTGCTTGGATGGATGTAGTAGCAGTCTCAAGCGGTTGGGAATCGTTCATCCTACTATGATGGATGGATAGAATAACGCAAGTTCGTGATTTATAAACCGCACGATTAATCCCGGGCCGACTGACCTCAGGTGCTCACTCGACGTACTCAGACTTCCACTAGATATACAAGTCAAAGAATGATACAACAGTAGACCTTGTGCTACAGATACAACAGCCGTGATATTATGCTACATCTTCAGGTTATGAAAGGAATAAGTACAGAAAACAAGATTATTCAAACCACACATCCATCACCCGCACATCCCACCCAAGCATTGAAGTTGAATTGTTGTGGTGTTTTGACAAATGCAAAACCCATGTAAGCCGCGTTCAGATCCATTACGGTATCGTTTTCACGCTCAACCACAGTGCGCATGCTTACACTGTCCATTGTGTCCGGGACCGAAATTGGGATGGTGAGCTTACTAAGGCCAGCAGGAACAGAAAATGACTGTTGAGCGAGTGGTGAGTCCGTGGAGGAGTTAGAAGAGGATGGGATAATTTGCAGAGTGACGTTGGCGGGTTGAGATAGAAGAGTGACGGCCCACATGGCGTCTAAAACCTGAACATCGTTGTTCGGAAACGGTTCATAGTATACAGAGAGATGACCACGTACCAGTTCGCTACCTGGTACGCTGCCAACAGTATCTGACGTCGCGTCAGCAGAAGCGGGATGCGTACGAGACCACACCACGACACGTTCCTCGTTGGAGGATACAGAAGGATATGTACCAGCTTTGAAAGCAGAGGCGTAATATGATGTTAGAGAAAGCCAAGCTACATCGGAAAATTTGAAAAAATTAGGACGATTGAGCATCATCTGAGACAAAACACGAACCAGTATGGTTCATCCCATCGGTCCATACTTCACTCCCGGTAGGTAAAGCGCCTTCGATCGGACCCACGTAATGTGACTCTCCATAATCATTCCACGAGATTATTTCCACAATATCTACTTGCTCGGAGATAGAAGGTTGTATGGAGGTCGCGTTCAAATCTGAATCAGTTCCAAGAGGGACCTGAGCAGGAATAAGGGATTCCCAGCGTTTAGAATAAAGATGCTGGTCTGCAAGATAAAGGAACTGAACGTAGTGAGTTTACAGAATGACGATGCGATCCCAGAACCAACATACATTTTTATTAAAAGAATTTTTGCCGAAATGAGTAAAGAACCAAGGAGAGACCGCAGCTATGTAGACATTGTTCGATGTGTTCCCAATAGATGCGTTAAGAAATTGGCTGTCCGAATCAGTCGAGCCGATGAAATTGCTTAGCGCATCCTCAAGACTCAATAATCCAGATGCTGTGTCCGAAGACGAAGAAGTTTCGCCTGTACCGAGGAGATTGGAGAACTTCCCAATCGCGTTTGTAGTGGTGTTGACCCCCAGAAGGTTCTTGAGAGTCGAAGAGAGGGAGTTGGAGGATGAACCAGTGGAATCAGTTGTTAGCTCGACTGGCCATCCGCCGTTCCACTGAGAGGTGAAGCCTTGTCAGTATCATGTATCCAAGGTAGCGTAAAACCACACACGTTGAAGGTCCCGTCTACAACTCCCTGAAACTGGGACATCTGATTCGGAGCGACAAAGAAGGATGGGACAAAAGTCATCTTGCCCTGTAAGTCAGGATGTTGTGTAAACTGAGAGCGCCAGCCATCGACGACTGAGGCTTGGCCAAATTTGCACGATTCGCCGGCAAAGGTGGACACAAGGGGGAGCTGCTCAGACGATCCGCGCGTGTATCGAAGCTGGTTTGGATGAGAAAGATACGTGGTGACAAGAGTCCGCAAAGAAGCAGCATCATTTGCGGTCGAGCAAGGAAGAATGCTAGAAGCATATGAGAGAAGCTAGACGGGATAATACTAAATTTCGTACGACATATCCAGAGAAAGAAACATCTTGAAATCCAGAGATGAGGTTTGGGCAGCCGCGTAGCTACACAAATTTTAGATACAGAATAATCATAGACTTTCAGAGACTTACGCGTCTGCCACCCTCGCCGGTTGCCAATCATCAATACCCATGTTGAGTGCAAAGCCGTCTATGCCAGAAGAATGGGCCAGTTTAATGTCGTTGAGCCAGTCTTGAGAAGTATATGGAAAAGTGTTCCCAACCATGTGGTGAGCAACGACGTATTTGTTGTTCAATGTCGACGCATTATTAGATGATGAAGTCGCAGACACTGTCGAGCTTGCTCGAGTAAAAAGTCGTGAGGAAGTGTGGTTCGGAAAGTGAACAGGTAACGCATCAGCGAAAGCAAAGAACGAGAATATAGAGAGTGTAAGAATCTGCATGATCGTAAGAATTCGTAAGGCTCAGCCAAAAAGAAAGGAGGATGAAGGAAGGAGGTGCTGTGTGGGAACAAGACGTACCTCATAACTATAAGCGTTGAGAGTACAATGGTGAAAGTACAATGAACAAAGCGAAAACAAGCGCCAAACACGTTCAAACAAGCGCCCGATTATTGTTCTGTTTTTTACAGTGACGCGCAAATCAAATCCACACCCCCCGATTTGGAAGGCCTTATGTCACCAGCCTAGAACCGTAAAATCTGTTGTTCCGCTGCTCAGAATTATCGAATTTTGAGGGTTCAAAGAGCTTATATTGCCACAAGCAATTCTATATAGTAGATTTGACTTGCTTGACAGTGTGTAGCATACAAAACTGTTCATAAAAACAGTTAAATCACAAAATTTCCAAATCGGGGGGTGTGGATTTGATTTGCGCGTCACTGTACATATTTACAATCAACACTACAAAAAATTATGTGTTTGTCCCTGCTTGGTCCAATCATTCCGATTGGCTAGACAAATTTTGTCTTAACATAAGTTCATGCGCGTCGTGTAGGGTTCAATTGACATCACAGGCGAAGGAAGTGGGCGGAGCAGAGCGACGCCCCGAGCGTAATTAAGCTGTGCATTGCACGGGTTACTGCTAGTGATATGTACATAATTACTAAAAACCGAACTACATACCATTGGTCGGTACTAGGTATGTCCTTGGTTATTTCTTCCGTATACTGCCCTGATGCCAGTAGTGCAATGTCACGCAATTACTATTGAGGGGCTCTTATAGATCTAGACTTAGTGGGTAGAATGGTAAAGTTGGAGAAAGGAAAACCGGCGTATCCAGTATCTATGTTTCCCTCTTATTTAAAACGTTCTCATGCATTTATTCACTACGAATTCATGGGATTCTATCGGTCTCAATTCCTATAGACTTACATTCTCCAATTCAGTGGCATTTATTCCTTGACAACGCGCTCACTCCCTCAAGCTCATCATTTTGGGAAGAGTAGCCAGCCACGTCATGCGATCTCATTTCACTGTTGTTACCTCCGTTGCTCTTTTCCTGACCTCCTTGACAAATGGGGTGTCAGTTGGTGACCTTCCTGCCGCAATAACTGGAACATACAATGTCTCCTTTCTTCTAGCGGAAGTACCAATTGCTCTTGCTCAGTCGGTATGTCTCTAGCATGAATCCCCATTGCAGCTGAGAATTGAAATGAGACTTTATTCTGGAAACAGTTCGTTCCCACTTCGTACACCCTCCTTCCTCCCAACGAAACTTTCTTTCCCGGTATCACCGACGGAAATGTCCCTCTTTTCTTAGAGCTAGGGCGGGAAGCAAATGCTGGCCCCCCCTTGCTCAACTTCGAGAATTTCCAAGAAGCCAAGCTTGAAGTTCCCAATGTTCAGCGACTCAGCGATTCTGAGATTCCGTTCCTGTACAAAAGGTCAATCTTAAGCACTTCCCGGCTTTTGTCAACTGTAACTCATTGCCTTCAGGTGGATCGCCGTGGACAACCAGCTCGATGTTTTTGGCTCATTGGTACAAAAGTCTTGCAATAATGTCTTGGTGATACTTAAGATTGTTTACAGACGGATTTTGGTTTGAATACCTCCTTCAATTCATTCTCTCCAGCAAATAGCAGCAATTCGACTGTGTACGATTATTCCATTGTGAGTGCTATTGATGCGACACTTGAACCGTTACTTGAAGGCGAAAACTTGAGATGGCCTTTGGAGACGTATGAGCGTATTGGTGGAATGCCCTGGTTTGCGGAATATCTCACCTGTGCACAACATTTCTACAATTGGACGGCGCAGGACGGAACATCTTTTCTTCGTGGTACGCAGACATTTGAGGTTTGCGTGTGGAAAGCTAATTCAAGGCACTGCACAGGAAATATTACTCTTCATCCCCCATATGCAGGCCCTGGAGTTTTCAATCCAGTCACATATCCAGTTCAAGGCATAAACGGCGTGTTTGAATTCAAGATCGTGGGTCCTTTGATTTGCGAGGAGTTTGTTTAGTACAATGTCAGGTTACCCATGGGCCATTAGAGGGTATACAGTACATGGATACCCTGTAAAATTCATTGTATTCTGATCATTCTGGGATGGGATGTACAGATATACCACCTTCTGTGACACCATATACGAGATTAGGATACGTCTTCGAAGACATCGCAGGTACATACTATAGTAATTGGCCCGAATAAGCCGACCTAACTTGAATACACACTTTTTACACGTCTTACTTATGTTGAGCATACGTTCGGCTTCCCAGTTGACGGGGAGACTCGATGCCTCGGTCAGGCTTACAGACTCCTATCCGACGGGACATTCGGCGCCAACACGCGACACAGTTAACTCGACCCTTCAGCTAGGGATACAAGCTACCCTCTCGCTCTTTCGAGTCTCGTCCTCTTCTCCGAGCTCGGCGTTACATGCCTACGGAGCCCGGTTTCGCACCTTCCTACACCCGTACTGAAAATAACATGTAAGCTAACTGACACGCTGCCTCAATTAACAAGAATGATATCCGACGCCGACGAAGCCCTGGGCTAATACCTAGAGTCTCAATTTTCCTCTCTACTCTAATCACAGCCCCGATCACCCAAGCCATTCGCATTGCAAAAAAATATGCAAATTGCTTCACTTTGGCTTGCATCGTCTTACAGGAGGAGTGGCCGCACAGCAACAGTTCTTGCAATATGACATTAGGTGTTGGAGGCTTGATTCCTCCTTAGGCTCTTCTCCCTCCCCCTCTCTGCCTTTCCTCTTTGTTGCCTTAGTATTTAGAACAGTTCAAGAATTATATATTATACGGGAGATAATACACTGTTTACACCATTTGCATCGTCATTACCTAACCTATCATCCGTTTGATGCTCTTGCCGTCTCCTCCGAAACAGGACAGATTTCAATCGTGAAAAGTCCCAAACCCAAACTTGTGTAACTGTATCCAGACTTATATCTATTGTTCGAGGGACTGCAGTAGTCCCTGCTCGCCATATGAAGTATTCGTAATTCAATGCATAAGAGTTATCCAGATGTGCTTCAATACTAGAAACCGCGGTGAGGTATTTACTGAATTTCTCGGGATGTTGATTATTCGTCCAAGCCCATTTCATCAGCGCGCGCCAAACAAGAGCTGGGACTTGAAGTTTTACCTGGCGATTATTGGTTCGCAGCCAGCGCAAGGCCTCGCTGGGGCCAAGTGATACTTCAACCCCATTATAAGTAAACTTTGGATGAAACCCACAAGCGACTATAGCAAGTGTGATCTGAAAATCAGACGGTGTTTCCATTGATAGACCTAAGGAGACAGTTCGAAACTTGAATAGGTGAGGATTAGACCAAGCCGATTCTTGATTCCCAACTCTTATTTGATGCATCGCTGCTCGAAATATATTCTCCAAGTGATCCAAGTCCAAATCCCTTTCTTTATGATGAACAATGGGAGAAACCAAGGAGAGCAAGTGGACTAATAAGTCCTTATAAGTTTTGAACCCGTAAAGGACTGATCGTGCTTTGGAAGTGGAGAGTTTCGGGGTCATGCTGAAGGTGAAGGCTCCCAGAGAGCGAAAGATGATCTCTTTAGCTGACACACTTGAGGTCGACTCTGCGAGCCACCAAAGGGCATTGAATTCGAAAGTCTGATCCCCTTTGGACTGCCAGCAAGCTGTGGAGCGCTCTGCTTCCTTCAAGGAATGGATCAAATGTTGTGGAGAATCGTTGTGCCCTCCCTCCTCTTTATCCATCGCTGTATTCACATTCTCGTGCCATCGTTGCTCCAGAAACTTTATGAATGCACCGCGGAGTAATTGATATGCAAAGTAAAGCAAATCGGTGAATGTTGTGCGATATGAGCACTGGACAACAAACAAGGGAAGGACGCTTGCGGTAAAATAGAGAATCACAACAACTGCAGTGATGCTACCAGTGATGTAGGTCATGAGAGTGCTAAGAGGGGCAAGGAAAATGACAAGACCCGCAAGAAATAGAATAAGAGAAATATGAAGGAGAACAGGCAAAAGACCAATAATGGTCTGAACACGCCATTTTATGAGCCCATCAAGGCGAAATTGACGGATAAATACTCGTTGACGAGGAGTACCTGTGATAATTGACATGTACTGTCGGAGCCATTGCTTTGCAAGTACTGCAAAAAGTGCCACGGTGAGTGCAATCGAGAGACTAGTGAACCAGAGTCCATTGACCCACAAATCACTAATTGCTGGAGAGAAGGATGTGTTGGTTGTGGGAACATTAGAAAGTGCAGTCATGTTTGAACCAGTCCGCATCAATGCAGTGAGCTCGCTCAGATATGACGATGAAAGTTGCGAGTAGTCTTGAGATAACGACTGGGAGGTTTGTGCAACGAAAGTAGTCAGGACGGCCGAAAAAAGACCTGCCTTTGATGCATGGACAGTGAGAACGAGATTCTTGAGAATAGACAATCATTGACATACAAAAACAAGCAAGATGTCAAGGCTATCACCAAGCTCCCCAACCATATCATTGTCAAAAGCTGCGGCTTCATCGAGGTATACCCACCACACCCGAGCTTCCTCGTCTAACTCGTGGTATCGCTTGTCCTGAGGGTATTTTAAACGATAGTCATAGTTGGCTGGAACAAGCGAGTTACACAAGTCAAAGCACTCCTCAATATTGACTTTGAAAGTCCTTACCCGCTGACGTATTTTCACGGACAACTTGTTCCCCATTCAAGCCAAATCGGAAATCCTTGAATGTTTTCCCATGAACCTGGGCATCCGCTCCCTTTGCGGGAAGAGATTTCGGGTGTGGTTCTGTTTTTGATTGAGTCGACGGACGCTCGTTTTGTGTGATTGGGGAATCTGGGCTACGACTCTCTCTGATTTGAGAAGATCTAACATCAGCTGAGGTAGAATGAGATGTCGACGTTGGCGCTGCCTGCCAATGGCTCCCCTGGCGTTCTTTCATCATGGAGTGCATGTCGCTGATAACAGAGAGCATTTCCCGCATCATTTGGGTTTCCGAGAGCTGGGGGACCCTGTCTCCGCTGGTGGGGGAGGACAAAGAAGCGTTTGAGTTCTCCAGAGAGTCTGATTTCATTGTTTGTGTTCCAGAAGCAGCCTGGGCAGATAAAGGAAGCAATTTGAGAGAAACCCCTACGACTAGCACAGTAAGTACATATTTATGGACTCCGAATCAGAATAGATCCATCATTTAGGACGTCTACGTCTGGGCGCGTAAAATGACAGCGACAGGTGGATTGATGATAACGCCGTTTGGAAGTGAGTACTGAAGGGCAATTTGGGAAACAACGTCGGTGGCAAGTCGGTGGTGTATGGTCTTGTATGGTAGGCACTCATGTGATGTGATGTGTGGCGTCAAAAGGCCAAAAGAAATTAATTTGTTGGAACTCGATTTGCGTGTTGTGTAAATGAGACTGTCAGTGCAAGCCGATTCCTTACATATGTGTGCAAATCTAGGCTAGGAGATTTTTCAATGCTCTTTACTAGAGCCACAGTCACAAAAAATGAGCATTACTGGGAGGGGCAAGTATGTAACATTCATATGATTGCCCGAATTTAAGTGAGCAAAATTCTATGGAATAAGTCAAGTACAGCCTGTACAGGAACTGAACTTAAGATCAGTAAGAGATTCAGGATTGTTTCTGGTACCTGCCTTTATAATGCTCACTATCCGTATACAATAAGTACATAGGTTTGAGCCGGATCTGGACGTATGTCAGACTCGTCACTCCAACGCTTGACAGAAACGACGAATACGGATTCACTTGTTGGACAAATTAGTCAATTAATAAGTTATATAATAACTGAGGGTGGAAATCCATATGGAGAACGAACCTTTCTTTCTCCCGCCAGTAAATTCCAGCGCCCAAATATTGTGATCTCGAGGCCAGTATAAATGGCTTTTTCCATCGCATATTTGAGGATGAGATTTGGAAAATCGGTTAGCGCTTGAAAATGAATCCCAATGCGGCTCAGTATCGAGCTGAGAGGTTCAATCCCCCATATGCAGGCTCTGGTGTTTCCAATCTAGTCACGTATCCAGTTCAAGCCGGAAATGGCGTTTTTGAATTTTGGGACGTGGGCCTTTCAATTTCGAGGTGTTTGTCTAGCATAACGTCGTGTTACACCACGGAAGGTATGCAGTACATGAATACACTGCGAAAATTCATTGTATTCTGCTCATTCTGGAATGGGATGTACAGATATACCACCTTCCTACACCCGTACTAAAAACAACATGTAAGCAAACTGACACGCTGCCTCAATTAACAAGAACGATATCCGACGCCGACGAAGCCCTGGGCTGATGGTAGCCGTCGAGCTGTTGAGCGCAGGATCGGGTAGTAAGAGTGAGCGCAACGAACGAAGAAGAAAAAGACCGTTCGCGAAGAAGAAATAAAAGAATATCACATAGTACAATGCTCGGGAAAGATAGAGGTAGGAAGACAGGATTGTGAGAATCACTCTGAAAGAAAAGGTGTTAGAGAGGACGTATAATAGAGCGTAGCACGTACCCGACAAATTTATAACCAGAGTAAGCTACGATATCGACCGCTTGCTTACTAGCTTGAACATTGAGGAGATAGCATCCTATATAGACGAACAAGAAATCCACGATGACAACAGCAAGGGCGGATGATGCTGATTCACCGAGGATCTGATAAAGGATGAGTTTTGACTTTGCAACAGAACAGCGAACAATACCTTTGGGTGGAATCTGGATTGTAAACCGGAATGAAATGCCGATATTAGAACATATGTCACAAATGCCATGACTGGAGAGATCTGAGTTATACATTCGTTCGCTATATAGACAAGGAATGTGGACGTACGTGGTATGTAGAGATCGGGACTGTTAATATCATCTCTTGGATCCTGATACTCGGTCTGTCCTTGCTCAGAGCGGTGAACACGTCGGGACCATGACTTGTGCGTCCATGGAAACACGACTAACTTGAGTTTGTGAATAACGTATGAATTCGAGACGTTGAAGTGGTGTTTGACGCTTGAGAGAGGAATTATTCCTCCAAACTGTATCGAAACTAATAAGCAACACGTTTATACAAACACGTTCCACAATTACATTTTTCTGAACATATTCCTGACCAGCTGCGACTGCGCTAGTTCCGAGCTGCATACCAAACTGAGCGGTAGCATCGTTTACCCCCCACGCTGCGAAATCCGGTTGAGGAACGAAAGACGGCTGATGTGGAAGTTGCGGCGGATTTAGGGAGTGCTGCTGCTGCTGCTGCTGCGAGTGCTGGAATGGAGAAGTCATGTAAGCTGGCACATGCTGCTGTTGTAAGAGAGCCGGTTGCTGCTGTTGATTTGGGCCAGGCGAAGAGGAAAATCGTTGGTAGCCGTTAGGCGAACCTGGAGTAGAAGGAGGCTCCGGAATATACGCAGGATGTGTGGGAACTGGATGACGAAGTGGGGGAGGTGATGACATTCGAGTTTTCTAGCAGTGCGATAACCGCGTTCGTGGTTTGAAAGAAACCTGGACAAAAGTTAATTGACTGAAAGTGGATGATCTAAACCTCAATGCTGTAACCCTAATTGTAACCCCAACACGTCACATAAAGAGTCACGCGAATTTCAGTTCTTTCTACGTGCTCGAACCATGTCCGAGTCGAAAGTCAAGGTCACCTCTTATCCTGCCATTGCAAACGCGCCTCTAGTAGGTCTTGCTGAAGGCAATGACACGTTCAGCAACCTTCACCTTGCTGGACTTGTCCTTTTCGTCCCTTGGTTATTGAAACGACTTCTTCCGCTGGTAAACCGCGGCGGTTTCAAGACATATCTCTTCCTGTTATTGCTCACAGGACTTCCTACTACTCTTGCGTACTGGATGGTCATGTCTCGTATTGGCAGTCGTAAAAACGAAAAGGTTCGGCTGCCGGGCAAAAATATCGAGGAGTACATAACTATCAAAGACCCCGAGCTCAAAAAGCTTTACAATGGCAAGGAAAAAATACCCATGCAGGTTTTCCATGATGCTTTTTTCGACGGGAAGATTGAATTCAACGGTGCGTTCTTCTGACACGTCGATGATAACCTGTTCCATTTATTTTGGTCTTCGCAGGTGACATTCTTGAAATTATGGAACAACGACATGACTGGGCCAAGTTCACCATGACATGGTCTCTTCTGAAATATGTCCTCACCGTTCTCATTCCAGACGTCATCACCCATTCTCGTGAACAGGACGCAGACCAGGTCACTGAACATTATGACCGAGGCAACGACTTCTACTCCTGGTTTTTGGGTCCTCGTATGATATACACCTCCGGAGTTGTCCTAAATCCTGATGAGAAAGAAACGCTTGAGCAGTTGCAGGACAACAAACTGGCCATAGTTTGCTCCAAACTGAACCTCAAACCGGAGGATAGATTACTGGACATTGGTTGTGGTTGGGGAACCCTTACTGCTTACGCTGCCAAGAACTTCGATTGCGACGCGACCGGAGTCACTCTTGCCAAGAACCAGACCGAATTTGGTAACAACAGGATCCAAGAAAATGGTATCTCCTCCGAAAAAGCGCGTATACTCTGCTGCGACTTCCGCGAAATCGCAGAAAAGAAGCCTAGTGGAACCTACACAAAAATTGTCTCTCTCGAAATGGCCGAACACGTTGGTATCCGGCGCTACCAGACTTTCCTGCGTCAGGTATACAACCTCCTGGACGACGACGGTATCTTTGTGTTCCAGGTTGCTGGTTTCCGTCAGTGCTGGCAATACGAGGACCTTAATTGGGGCTTGTTCATGAACAAGTATGTTTTCCCTGGGGCCGACGCTAGCTGTAGCTTAGGATGGGTTGTAAGCCAGGTGCGTACAGTCTCTTTCATTCCATTCACATCGAATCTCAGTAATATCATTAGCTCCAAAACGCCAATTTCGAAGTGAAGAATATCGATGTCCTTGGAGTACACTACTCTGCCACGCTTCACCGCTGGTACGAAAACTGGCTGTCAAACCATGATGAAATTGTCGCCAAGTACGGTGACAGATGGTACAGGCTTTGGGCCTTCTTCCTTGCTTGGAGTGTTATTACCAGCAGGTGAGTTGAAACTATCACTCGTATCGATATATTGCTTAACCATTTTCTGCTCCATTTAGGCAAGGAAGTGCTTCGGTCTTTCAAATAACTCTGCATAAAAACCTCAACGCTTATCACCGTATCGAGGGAGTTAAATCGCATGCTTCCATCCATGTCAAGCTTGAAAAGGAGCCTGAGTAAGTGCTGCTATCGTGATACTTAGTGTAAGTTTACTCATTCTTTGTTTAGGCTCATTCTATGAACATCGATCTACATAGTGGCGAGCAAGAGCATTTATGGTTGGTGGAAATTAGTGTAAACTCTCGAGATGTCCAAGTATGACTTAATGATGATACAAACGCAATTTACACTTATTCCTATTCACTTGATGTTGAATCGGGGAGACCCGCACCTGGACTTGTTGCTCTGAAATTCCCTTTTGAATAATATTCTACATGCATGAACCATCTTTTCACGACGAAGAGTTTGAAAAGAGACAACACTCAAATTTTTGTCCTATATTCCTAGTTGGCTGTATGGTAAGAACTCCACCCTCCTATCTGTAGGGAGCTATACAGTGAACGATACCGCAAGCACGAAAGCAGGGTGCTATATCGTGAATGCTAAGGGTTGAATAGCGTCCATACGAAACTATGGAATCTAAGCGGGTGGGTACAATTCCTCCTTGAGGGCGATTCCTAAGACACGAGGTTAGTGAGTCTCAGATTGAAGAAAGACAAGCCAATGAATCCCGCACCCAGCTCTTCCCTCAGCCCTTTTAATTCTGTCAAATACGCCTCATACTGAACTTTGTTCTCTACCTTCTCCTTTATACCCTCAAAAATCCGGACGGCAGTGGAGTAGTCGTTCACTCTCCTGGCGGCCTTCACCGCAGCCTCGATAACCTCTGGACTAGGAACTAGATCATGGGCAAAGCAATTGTTAAGCCCACGTTGGAGCTCAAACAAGTCTTCGGCATTCTGGAAAAAGGAAACGTAGCGGGCGGAGAATTGCTCAAATGATTCTTGTGCATGAGCGTGGGCAAAGCGAACGAGGGTAGGCGCTGAGCGTGCAGTAAAGGGGGTACGAGCGGCTGCTCTGAAGGCGGTAGTGAGAGCTGGACGCATCATTTCAACGAGAGTAAGTGCTGGTCGACGTTCAAGATAGGTCGGAAAATAGTGGAAGAAGCCGGAAGCGGACGGTCTGGATCCAATTCTGGACTCGGCCCCCCGGACCGAACTCCTTTCGTTTAAACCTCCATCTCCGCCCATAATAATATACCAAGAATAGCTACAGGATGTCGCGCCCAATGAATGACGATGAAGTGCTCAATGAACTAAATAAGATGGTAACTCTTCTGATCAGACCCGCACTTTAACAGCTCACAATCTGTTGTCTAGGTTGCTTTCATTAAGCAGGAAGCACTCGAGAAAGCTCGGGAGATCAAAGTCAAGGCCAATGAAGAATTCGCCATTGAGAAGGCCAAGTTAGTCAAACAAGAGCAACTTGCTATTGATGCGCAATATGAGAAGAAACTCAAAGGCGCTGAAGTGTCTCAGAAAATGTCAGTGACCTCGCGTTCACGTATCAATTTGCTAAAGATCATTTCTAGTGCCCAATCAACTCTCACTAATAAATCTCGACTTCGCCTACTCCATCGCAGGGAGGAACATCTCCAAGATCTGTTTTCCACATGCCGCAATCAGGTCGTTACCCTGTCCTCATCCGACACAGGTACGGAGGATATTCGTGCTCGATGCTGGGCACAATAAGAGTAATCTGGTTTTGTAGATGCGTACTCTGAATTCCTTGCTGGCGTTCTGTCTCAAGGATATCTTTACCTAATGGAGCCTTCTGTTGTCGTCCATTGTCGCAAAGTGGACGTTTCTGTTGTCGAAGAGGCAGCGTCTAGCGCCGCCAATACATATAAAGAAACCTCTGGGAGGGATGTCAACGTCGATGTGAAAGGAACTCTGAGCGATGATATGTAAGTCGATGATACTTTTGCTTCCATTATACACTCTCACCACGATGTCCTTCGCAGTGCCGGTGGCGTAAAGCTCGTTTCAGGTTCCGGTCGTATTACTCTTGATAACACATTAGATGAAAGGTTGCGGCTACTAGAAGATCGAGTGAGTTAATACATCCTAATTTTTCGCCGTTGATTTTGATCTCCGTGTTCAGATGCTTCCCGAAATTCGCAAAGATCTTTTTGGTCCGAATGAGAATCGCAAATTCTACACATGAACGATGTTGCTTTCGTTTGGGGTCTCGTCTTACGTACCAAATAATCTTGCAATTGCCATGGACTTCAAGGACGTCACGATATACAATTTGATACTACCTTCTGAATTGACGTAGAGTGCAGTATTTGGGCACTGCAGCATTCAGCAACATGCTATGTATGTAGCAATATGTATCTGGTACATTTTTCTCTTCAGGCACCGGGGTGGTTCCATCTTGTCTTTACCATACAATACATCCTCCAGCCTTCACGGACCTCCTTGCAGTGCTAGTATGTTTGCCACGGCATGTTCAGCAGCACTCATAAGTGCTCCATGTGGATTACCCATGGGGAGTCGTGGCATCTAGAAAACCCCATGTATTCATTTTCGTGAATGTATGGCTGTAAAAGTACTTACAATTGATGCCTGCATTTCCAGCCAGTGTTTGCCTGAGTAGGAACTCTTTCCTCAAAAACGAGTACACTCACATCGATCACAAAAAGATTGTCCGTTCCCATGACCTTCACGTTCTCATCAACAACGTGCAGAATACTGTTAGAACCGACCCAATGATTGGAGTCCATAGTGCTCTGTTATGATTTCAGTAAGATTGTTCTAGTTCTTGAGGTGCTTGCGAGAGACGCACCCGATCGTATAAATTTACTAAAAAGCATAAACTAAGTCGATTTTATTCTAGGTAGATCATTTAACTCACCGTATTCCTCCATTGTCATCGTATCATCGGGAGTGATCATCGTTAAACCAGGGACTACACATGAATCGTCAAGCTGTTTTGGAAGAATTTCCACTACAGGTTACTCACCACTATCCAGGTTCGAAACGATGTCCTTGAGACCCTGAAGAAGTACGGGTTCGTCGCCTACGATTCACAGAGGAGTGAGCCCGTATCCGCCAGAGAGTTCGGTCGGTCTTACCTGGATCCTCAAACCACGGATCGATTAAAGGTTGAGGTCTCAGGCTCGCATCAATACCTATACGCCCACGAGAGGTTATTCCTGTAGACCTTGTTGGGATGAATGAATGGAACAGCGAAGATTCTACTGCAAGACTTACAAATAGGCTGTTATGGTGAAGATCGTGCTAATCCGGCTGTGAGCTTTTACGCGAACTATGAAGCTTAACCAGACTTGCCTGGCATTGTAAGTCATCGTAGTATTGATTGAGGCTGCGCCAGGGCGGGCAGTTCCTTGCAGCTGTTAGGACAGGCTCAATTTCACCCAGAGTAAGTATGAGAAGTGTGCGTCCACCCACATATCTAATCACATTGTCTGTGACACCACCGTAAGCTCGCCAGAAATTCAATCTAACGAAATATTGGTGAAAAGGGGGTTGGCTGACGGATGCTGCGACAAACCTAGGTGAAGCTTGTGCTAAAACACCGGACTGATTCTCAAGATACTGTGCAGAATCGGCTGGGCGAGGGTCGGCCCACACTGTTGCCCAATTGTTGTACGCATCGATGGAAGGTTGAGTGAAGACCAGCTACATCATCCGAGCATTAGGTCAGTACAGGACATGGGCGGAGTGCCATAGAACAGACGTTAATTGATGGATTGTCAGAAACCTATTTGGATTGCCTTCAGACAGTGATCTCATGAAGGGGCAATGCAGCTTACATTGTAACCCACTGGCAAGTCAATCCAATCTGCTTGGGGCGGCAGTTGAGGTCCGTAAGTAGGATCGTTGCTTACAATATCCAACATGTCTGAAGGACCAATTCCACTCAAGAAGAGTATTCTTGGTGAACCATAGGAGCCCGCAGATAGGATAACTCTTCCATTAGGATTAAGAGGAACATAACCATTAGGGCCGATAGCAGTGTTGTTTGTTTGTACACCCAGAATTGTGGAACCATTTCGAACAACGTTTGAAGCATAGGTATATATTTCCATCTGGAAATTTGAGCGAGATTGAGCGGTCTGTAGATATGTGGCGACAGGACCTCCACGTTTTCCGTTGACAAACTTGATCACATCATGTCCGTAAGGAGACTTACAAAATTGAAGGAATACAACTGGCACTCACGTCGTAGGCGCTATAACCATACGCATGATCCTTGAAATTGGGATTATCGTTGATTGTAATGTTGCTGTAGCCCTGACCGTTTAATAACTGGCCCACAACCGAAGATACTTGCTCCAGATATCGCTCTCCGTCCGTTGAAGGATGATCCGTACTGGGAAGTCTTTGCTGCATCATATTTACGTAGGTGTCATGGGCACCATTGCTCCAAGATGAAGGCCAGCCGGTTGCAGTTGAAAAGTCATCACTGGTCGGTATCCAATACAACCTGCATGAATTGATGAGCAGGATACCGAACAAGAGCGAGAGCAACTCACGCTCCGTTAACCGATGTTCCACCGCCGACCAGACAGCCAGCAAACACGGTAATATCTATGTAGAAATATAAGAGCACAAATACAAACGTTCTTTTTTAAAATTTAATCTTACCATCGCACCACCAAAACTCATTCGAGTCCGTGAACATTGTCTCAAATAAGCCCGGGATATCGAACTTGGTAAGCTGAAAAGGAAGGAAAAAATCTTGTCAGCGTTTGTTAGCATAATAAGGAAGTGTGCACACATTATGTCCTTGCGCCCATGTTGGTGCATATGTGCCTCCGGTCTCCCATGTACTAGGTCCTCCTCGTTCAAGAAGAAGCACTTTTTTGCCGGCTTCACTCAACCTATCTGCAGCAATTATTCCACCAGGACCAGCACCAACAACTGCATATTCGATTCAGTATCACTCTGTCGTCATATAACAAAACAGCTTGTAGCCGCCGACCTATATAATCATAAGGGGTGGGCTGACGGTAACATGTCATGGATTAGGGATAGCTGATCATGAAACTATAGGTGATACTCACAGCAACAGTAGGAGAAGAGGTGGCTGTCGTAGTCGTAGTCGTAGTCGTAGTCGTAGTGCTTCCCCCACTTGATCCAGTACCTCCTGCTGCCCAATTATTGTAATCTGCGGCTGAGGCGTGAGCGGCAGAAAAGTTAGAGCCATAGAATCCGACTGTTGGGAGTAGTTGATCAGGAATGCACTTCACATAGTAGATATAACCATTTACAATCCGTGTGTTCTTGGAAATCAGTGTTTATATCCGAAGGGTCGTCTTGATCCGTATATGTTTAAGCCAGTCAAAGTGGAGAACAGTTCATAGCTCACCGACTGCGATAGAGGAAAATACCCATGCTGGTGCAACAAATGCATTGGTATTCAAACTCCCCCCGTCCCATACTAAACATAGAGTTAATACACAAGATTCAAAGAAAATTTACAATTCACACCTGTGCAGTTTTGGCAACGGTAGACCCACTTCCAATGAGTAGAGTTTACTTTGGTCGATGGAAGGTCTGTTATAATGGGCCCAGCATACGGGCTACATTGTAGGTCAGTCAACTCAGAACGCGTATTTACTTGATAAAATATACACTGGTTGAATATAATCCCTACAAAGGTTTGCCATGAGTCACCTTAAGGTAGAGACAGGTATTACACTCACGTAGCAAAGCGATTGGTGCCCATGACCGTGTTTCCGTTGGCCCAAGCCATTAATAGCAGATTGTCCACCATTTCGCCACCAGGAGAAACCCCAGCCCAGGCAGCCGAAATCGGAGCAACGATCTCGCCAATGAACTCAGTGGATCCTGCGGAGACAGGAGGGAAGACATAGCCATGAGTGACCTAACGGACAGTCTTCTTTTTCAATGATTTGGTTCGTTGACATTGGGCAATATATGATTCACCAGATGCACTGGGTCAGTGATACCCTTTTTCATGGTGAGATATCAAACATAATTTGACCGACTCTGCAGACTCACCCAAAATGTGATGCCGTTGTCTGGGTCGACGTATTCTGTTGCAACTTGAGCAAAGCCTGAATAAACATTTTGAGGATAGTTATACAGGCAATTACAATGACAAAACACAGACCACTTCCGGTGAGTGCGAGGATACTCAGCACGATGTATGAAAGCATTGTGGGACACACGGGGACACAAATGGCCACAATAAAACCTAGTATGTTTTTTCGAATTTAAGTCAATCGCGTTCCTCCTTGAGGACCATCCGACAAACCCAAGATGAATGCGAGGAAGCTCCGACTCTATTCCTTTGTCCACGTTGTTTTAGGATAACCTGAACGAGAAATTGTTTGGACGGAAACCACTAGCAATGCAGGTCAAATATACGGATAAGAATCGGAACCCGCGTGATTCTGCGTTGTATTAACATCGGGAGAAGATATGAATAGAGTAAGACCAAGAGCCTTTGCCACATGAGATATGCAAGAAAATATGAATGAATTCCGAGCATGGGTTGCCTGGGCGCTGCAACCGACGAAAACCCGATCAATATCCACTGTACTATAAAGTCATTACTCGGAAAGAAAATATGCGAACAATGTCATTGACCTCTTGGTATCGAGCCAATGGACGCGTATGGACGTGTCAATGCTCATGCTATCAAAAAGATACTCCTCAAGACATGATCTGAAGTGACATGTAGTTCAGAAAGTTTCGGGATGTTGATGAATAGTGGATATATTTTTATAGATTTAGACTAACTAGGACTAACCTAATTATGCAAGCTTGTCTTGCTACCTCTGGGAGATGATCCTGTAGCAGTGTCTACCAGGCAATATAAGTATCTAGAGGAATCTAGAGGAACCAATTCCGAGCCCATTATATATCCATGTATCAGAATGTGCCAAGGGTTTGGGTAGGTGACTGGTAGGTGGGAAGCTGACCCCAAACAAAGAGCAGGACCATGGCGCTAATTAGAGTACATTGCGCTAAAAACAGTGCAGATGGGTGCGCGACAGAAAAAGGCGACGATATAAAAGTATGTACGGGTGGAGCATCGAAAGCTATTGAAAGTCGGTAATAAGCGCTAGATGAGCGCTGATCAAGGTAGTGATCATGAGTGCGAGGACATATGTTAGTGGCTCAGTGCCGCTGGTTACCGCCACACCGGATTCTTTACTATCTCAACACGATCTCAAAAAAAATTGCAGAGGTTTCAATGCGATGTACAGTAGGTGCACATCTTCGTTTTCCTCTCGCCGATTGATCAATAAGATAGACGCTCCACCGATTGGAAATCTTGTGTTCAACAGAGCAACGTTACTCTCATCATTAGCTGATAGATATGTGGGTATATCGGCGTAATATGTGTATAATAGCTCCGCCTAGTAGAGAAAACAAGAAGTAGGTCGAGAATGATTATGAGGGCCTCGGAAACGCCCCAGGTATTGTTTGTCTCCTTCTTTCTGGATGATGGAAGTAAGTACCGTACCGAGACGTTCGAGACGGACTCGCTGCTATTGGAAGGTCCTCATCCTCGGATACTACTTCGCTTCCACTAATAGCAGGTTCAGTCTGAGTTCTTTGAATTCGATCTATACCTGCGGCCCCATAGTCCTCTTCATCGCTATCGACATCTTCTGCTAGCCAATTCTCGTCGTCAGGTATCATGATGACGCCAGTCGCATGATCAAAGCTGAGACGATGATGAATGACATTAGGGGCGGTCTGTGTCCTCCCTGTTGAAGACTGCGCATCCTGCCAAGGGTTAGAGTTATTTGCGGCACTTTCAGATGTTAGTGTTTGACGAGATATCAGCCGGCTTCTGCGCACTACACTGGCTCGTTTTCGAAGGGTAAGAACCACAGCCTGATTGGAGTCATTGCCTTGTCGAGGACTACCATTATTACGGTTTTCGTGATTAGTTAAAGTTTGACCTTTCTTCAACGGGAGCCACGGTTCCGGTAACACTCCGTTGAGTGCGGGATGTCCAAAGCGCCTTTTCCCAGTGCTGAGCACCAAAAAAGTTGAGAGATTCAAGATCTTGAACGGCAACGAAAGGTATCCACTTACTTGAGTACCCCGCGATACCAATTAGCCATAGGCGGTTGAGACTAGAACTGTGATCAATTTGGACAATCAGATAAAGCACTGCGTCTTACATAGTCTGTCCTTTCATCTTCTGGAGCAACATATAACGTATCGTCGTTTTGGGCATATCTACGCCGATTCAAATTACTGTATGAAGAAGGTAAACAAGGTAACGTGGATTATGTGATAGGGTGTATTCTAACCTTTGAGACCAGGTGACAGGGTGTCCCAGCTTCAGTCTCGCTACGTCAGCTGATTCTTCACCTCGTTCGACCTCAAATACTGAGCTCAGGTTGACGTAGTCACTCAGAGGTGTTAACGATTTATGTAACCACCAAGACCAGATTACCGTACCGGCCAGGAGTGGAACAAGCAGCGACGAAAGCACAAAGGATTTCGAGAGGAGGAAGAAGCCAGTCATGAACACGAGGAAAATTAAGACACCCCAGACGAGGCGAACATATGTCAATGGCCAGGCTTGGCCTTGCGATTCATACGGTTTGTAGAACACTATGATAGACGGTGAGTGTAGAGGACTTGGGCGTTGATGAGGACATACCGAATAACAGTTTGTACTTGTATACAACATAGGCTACGCCAAAGTATATAGCTCCGAAGACGACGATAAGTGGTTGGACAACACTGTATAACATAGTGATAGTGAACATGAGAATGGCTTGGGGATAGACGACGCCGTAGTTAATCATTGGGGGCGCGTTAAGTTCAGCGTAATCTGGAATGTGATCAATTCATGGGGTCGCAAGGGTTCTGTTAAAGACTTACCTCTAGGAGTTCTGGTGAAGAACAATCGCATTACAATTCGAGGCACGATTACGCCGAGATTCAAAAGCTGGAGAGGCATGATACCTAAGCCTATGTGATAACCATCAGTGACTATGGTATCCTTCATTAAGCAGACGAAGAAGCGAACCTTGTAGAATAGCATAAGAGAGAAAAAAATTCCTAGCGCCCATTGATTAAGAGGAAAGATATACATAGATCGGAGGAATGGAACAAACAAACCTGGCGTGACCTGATTGGAGAGACTTCGCAAGTTTTTCGGGAATCTTAGCTGGGAAATTGGCCAAATCACGAACAAGCTGCCAATAAGTACTGGCAACGAGGAATATAAATACGACGTTGACCAAAAGGAATAAGTGATATCTAGTAAAATATGATGTCAGTCATTCGAGCAGCAAAGGAGGATGTTCCCACATACTTTTTCATCAATGAGTATTCAATCCAACTGCGAGCGCGATATCCCTGAAAATATGTTAAACCTGCAGAGAGAAAATTAACAAGTTCGACTCGATATAGCAGAAATATGACCTTCAAGCGCAAAAGGTAGCAGAGCGTTCAACGTAATCATCGCAACAGAAGGTAACGAGTTTTGAACCAATGCCTGTATCTTGTCGTTTTTGTCGATCAAACCAGCGAGCCATGGCAGAGTTTTCTTTATCTCCTCGTAGGAAAGTAAACTAGCTAATGCAGCGATGGGTATTACCCAGAAAAAGAACAGAAGGCCAATGGCAGCCAGAATCAAAATATCCCGAGCACGAAGAGTATGATCGGAGGACGTCATGTTGGCCCATACAATGTCCCGAGGCTCTGGGGAGGCGTATGTCACGCATTGGAAGGGATTCGGAGCATGGGCAGTTTGGAGAGCAATTTGCTAATGAGATGTATGATCAGTGGAATTCTTGTTAGTCTTGCTTTGAATGCCTACCGCGCTAGACATCTTTTCGAAAGTCACAAACGCGGTTTTCGTTGCCTTGAATTTTCCAGTTCGTCTTCTTCTCTTGACTATTTCGTCGATCTCACCGAATCGATTTTCCAAATACTCCAGTGCATCGACCTTGGGTTTGAACCATCCTGGCCGGATTGTGGGTCGCTGTCGATGAGGGACGACCAGGCGAGTCGTAGGTCCACTCTCTGTGTCTGGTTCAATTAGATTGACGACCGCAGTATTTTCGGGATCATATTCTTCTACTGTGCTGGGATTACCGACGTAGGCGGCCCACGCCTTCTCCAAAGCTAATAAAGCCCGGGTTCGTTTGTTCAGAAGACGTTCCAAACTGCCAACCTCGCGAACCACGGACACACTCTCTACGCTCATGTTCATGCTCTCGAAGTATTCTGCCAACGATCTTTCCCCGCGCAGGTGCTGTGGAAGGTTTGTGACCATTACTGTACGAGCAGGTATGGAATGAACCAGTTCAAGGGAAAAGAGTTGGCGAGATCGAATAAAACGACGGTAGTTCTTGTAGGTAAAGTAGAGCGAGAGACCAGTGAAGAGATACGTGAAGACTAGGTGCACCGAAAGGTAGGTATTTGCGTCGGAAATGAGGCCCAGCCAGGAATCGTCGGTAGGAAGCGTAGAATTTTGAGACGGCTCCAAGGAATAAGACACAAAAAGGGCGTTCCAGTCGTCATCAGGCTCGTTCCCATCATTGTCGTCCCCTAACCTTTTATTATGCTGAAAGGGGAGGGTTTGACTCAAGAGTCATTGGAAGGATGTCGATACGCACCTTCCAATTCAGAGGCATTAACGCAGTAACAGCAAAAAAGGAGCAAACAGAGAACAGATAGAAGGCCATTTTGAAGAAATTTAACAGCTTGTGGTAGTATGTGAGCGACACGGTCTGTACAAAGAATCAAGTACATACCACAGCGGCATCCAAACCAACAATCTGTAATACTGTGAACTCCGAAGTCCTAATCGTAGGGAGAATCCAGCCGAAAAACGCTTGATGTGCATGGGCTTCATGAGGAGAAAAGCCTAAGGAGGGTATAAAGAACATTCAATGGTTCGAGCCTTGGGTGAACGCACCCTTCAACTTGGTTCTCGGCGCAAAAAGAAGGGGCCAACGGGTTCTTGAGTATGAGAATATCAAGAAAGATATAAGACCAATGGATCCAGAGAGGATTAATTGGGTGGTCAACCAGGGTCCTTCGAATTTGACTATACAAGACACTGATTCACACTTCGAAGAACTAATTATTAGTACTAGACGTACGAGTTGGAGGTGATCCTGGGGGGAGGTCTGGTTGCGTTCCATTGCCATCGTCAAAGAAAAGGGTGAAGTATGAAGGTAACATCCCATGTGACAGCGTCCTGCGCAGGAGGAAGTGGCGAAAACGTTGGGCGTTTAAAATTATCGTAACTTGTAAAGATTAGATAAAACCGAAGTCCTCATTTATTTATCTTCAGTATTTTCACTCCCGAAGGATTATACTACAAGGTACTCGTCTACAGTCAGAAGGGAATCAACTGAAAACGAATCCACGCGCTCTCCGGATGTTTTGGTGACACTCTCCACATTCACACCAGCCAGACTCCCTTTGGCAACAAAAGATACATCAACAGGAAAAAATGCGCCAGCATCGTCTCCGCCGACGTTGAATATGAGTGATCCAGACTTGGTGTCTTCGTTCCAGGAGATAACAGATATAGTCCAAGCAATAGAATGAGAAGAAGGATTCAAAGACCATTCACCAGAATGCGAGGTTACAGTCGGATACGAGCCATCACTGGATACCGTTGTTCAACATGAAATGATAAAGAACAGGAAGGACGTACGGCAAAGGGATCGAGATGACCACATCGTATAGACTGACGTTCTCATTCTCGAGCTCGTACTCGATGGATACCTCGCATGTACCGTCGTTTGACGGGGAAGGCCAGCAGTTTACTAAAAGCCTGGAGAGTGAGACGAAAAAAACCCAGATATATAAACACCCACTGGACAAAGGAACATTACTCTCGTCGGTTCCATTATACCTCCACTTCAAAACAGCTAGACTCTGACCAACGGGGAAAGCCCTTGACGGGTCCTTCAGAGCAACTACGCGCTCTTTACCGGGAGCGAATTTAGCGACATTTGGATGCTGTTTGAACTGGAGACTGTTTCCGAAATCGGTGGAAGGCGGAGAAAGACCGATCTTGATGTGCGCAAGGTCAGCGTCAGTTATGAGAAGGTTCATATCGCCTTTGAGTTCCATGGATTGCACACCGCCATCTCGAAGAAGGGAGAGCGATATTTGCTCCTTTACCACCATGTGAACACTGGTCTGAGCTGAGCAATTGACTAAAGACATAAACGAGAAAGAACCTGCCTTTCAGCCACTACTTCTGGCACACTTCCTCTTTCACTGAATGCAGAAGCTGCAGGTGAGCTGACAGAAGGAGTAGGAGGAGTAGAGACATCAGTGGAAAGGGAAGGTGATGCAAGAACGTCTCCTCCCAGCGCGTCGATCAGTTCAGCTTGTTTGGTCTTCTTGCTTCCGAGTTTCATTCCGGACCCCTTGAATGCAGGCGCACGAGCATTTGATAACGCTGGAGAAGATGTGGTAATGCGGGAAGGCGTCGGGTCTGGTGCATCGTATTTGGGAACAGGAGAATAGCCTGTGACACCCCCGCCAAGATAATTGCTTCCTCCACCCGAGCTGGCTGTTCTACGTTGTTGCTCCCTACGTTGCATTTCCAACTGTTTGGCACGACGTTTGAGCTCTTCTTTCGCTTCGGCTTCCTTGTTCTGTAAACGAAACAGTTTAGCACCCGTTATTGAATGTTTGTCTTTGTGCGTACTCTGGCGATGATCTCTTGGATCTTCTCTTCGTGACTCTCCATCTCAAGCACGCTTCGGACTTGTATAAGGTTGACTTGTTCTCTGTATCCCATGCTGACAATCTCATCGAACGCGCCAAGTATCTCGAATGACTTCGTCAATATTTCACGTTCGTCAGCTGTTCTGCACATATCGGAGACTACGCGTGCAAAAAGGTGAAGGGTATCGATGTCTAGCAGGATGTTTGATGTTTTGTTCGTTATCAAAAGGATGTACAAATCCTCAAGGGGTTGATAAACGAAACGAACATCGGAAGTTTCAACCGTAGTGTGTTGGGTATTAGTCGGAATGAGCTTTGGAAAAGATGCAAGAAGAGATTCGATGCGAATTCGTGACATTTCGCGAAACTGCCGAGATATAACACCTAAGGAAGGATTAGCAAACACCCTGGCCTTTGAAGACATCCATTTGAAGTACCTTTTCCGCCTTTTGTACATATCGAAGCAGCGAGAACTACCTGAAACAGTATCGTTAGTGTTTGCAGAAGCAGGTGGGACCTCTTTCTTTACCATTTTGAAGGAGATGGATCCTTCTAGTTGAGCGGAAGAGACGTGCTGGAGACGTGTCAGAGACTGGTCAGAGAAAATGGCCAAAGCGAAACGGTTATGTAATCCACTTGCAATCCAATCATTTGATTGTGAACCAACAAACACCCAGACGAATCACATTATAATGGCAGAGCTGGATGAGAACAATGTCTCTGTTACTTCTCCAGAACTTATCAACGATACAGTCGCAATGACTGAACTTCTTTCTTTCCCAGCCAATACACCCTCTTCCTCTGCAAAGTCCGCCTGTGATCCTCCCAGTACGTCAGCCCGGCAACTCTTGAGAGATAGACTCTTCATTGGGAACTTACACCCTACCGTGGACGAGTAAAACAGCTATTTTGGAGTTTAGTGCTTCTCAAACTCATCTTCCTTAGGTATACTCTCCTCCAAATCTTCACCAAGTTTGGCAAAGTCACAAAGTTGGACTTTCTCTTTCACAAGTCTGGAGTGCTGAAGGGAAAGCCTCGGGGCTATGCGTTTCTCGAGTATGGCAGTCACAACGTATGTCGCTTTATACTTGCTTCTTTTGCCGACGCGATGCTCACCCCGGGTTTTTTTGGGTCTTATCATGAACGTACAATCTCATCTACTTAACCTTTATCGCTCGCGCCATTCAACCCCGGGGTGTCGCATGCTTCGCAGCGAGAGCCGTGTCCCTGACCATTTTTCATGATAGGAAGCACAGAAAGCCTTGAATTCTGCCAATGGCAAGCTACTCCGTGGCCGAAAACTAGCAGTCACATATGCTAATCAAGCACCTTCTGACGCCGACGGTGGAGTCAGTAGGCAGCGAAAGACGATGATGGAAACTGGGCGTCCGACCACACTGAGTATGCTGAAGAGTAACACGGGGGGTAAACATAAAGATGGGTCAGTTAGCTATTTCTTGCGTTGGAATACATTATTCACCGAGTTTTCTAGCACAACAAATAAAATAGCTATGATGGAGGCGAAGCTTCGTGAGCTGGAAGCTTCAAAGCCAAAACATAACACTGAGCCTGGTACTTCGACACTCCCAACTTCGAGTCTTCCAACTCATCCCTCACTCCCTCCCAAACCCCCACTGACTGTCCCTAATGTCGGCGTGCCCCAGTCACAAAATCCGACTGTACCCAAGCAGTCTTTGACTGCGTCGTTTGCCCCCCTTTTGCGCTCTTCGTCGACTTCAAATCATCACTCGCCAACTGGATCCGAGCCACTTACAAAGAAGATCAAACTCGCATCAACTTCCGGCCCTCCTGAAGTAGCAAAGCGCAAAAGTAGCGGAAAGGGTCTCCTGGGCGTGAAGATTGTGAAGAAATGGACCTCCCCATCACCCATGCCTCCTTCCAGTAGTGATGATCACATTGTCGACCACCATCATAATCAAGAGCCACCTGTTTCCTCATCATCCCATGCACTGACAGATACACGCACTGCCTGACACTGCAACCAGTGGCATCAAGGTGTACAATCTTTTCGTCGATGATAATAACGGCGCTCATCTATCTCTATCTTTGCAGTACACTCCATATTCTTGTTCAAATATTCAATGGAATTGGTTATATAAACAGCCTTTCTATAATTATAGTCTGACTAGGTTCAAATTCAATGGAGGGTATTCTTGTGCGGTTTTCACCGCGAGCATTCGATAAAATTCTGTCTATATATCATTTTAGCTTCGTGATTGATGCTTTCCCAAAGCTATGTATCCAGGATTGGTTTGCAGATTCTACCTAAATCTAATGCACATGTAATCAAATTGTTGTTGAAATTGTGACAGGTTTCAGCAGTAAGTTGTATGTGGGGGCGTATTGTCCTGTATTGTCGTCCTGCGCTGTTATTCCATATTGGAACCGGCGTTGAACGTTCAACCCTTGGACCGTGTCGTGTGATGAATTTTCTTTCCTTTCCATACATACATTGTACAAGGGCATCAGTTCAAAGAACCAGAACTTTTAAAGACTGGGGTAATGGCTGTGAACGGCTTGTGAACATCCGATGAAACAGGACTCGGCTGAGAGACGGTCTTTTTATTTTGCTGTGCCACTACTTCTCGGTTTTGTCCTTGTTCCGCGCATTCCCTACGCTGAATATGTTCCTGTGTCTAGATTTGTTCTCGAATCTATGCGAACAGACCAATTGCAGACGGATCTTGGCATATCGGTGATTTCTAGAAGACGATGAGCCCATGTTCTTAGCTGTTCTTGGAATGTTCATGCAGTTCTAAATTGAACGTTGAACGGTGACAGGACATCAAACCAATTCGCACTAGTACAGTAGATTTGTCAAGATGCCAGGAAAAGCGCAAGGAATCGATGCATATAACGCGTCTAATTCTCACCTTGCTTTCATTCTGCACTTCGATCTTCTTTCCCTGGACGCGATTTTTTTTCGCGTGATATCAGGCTATACGCATCCTATTGTCCTAATGTCGTCTTTTGAAGCTGTTATACGCAAGAAGTTGGTAGATGTTGTCGACGAGCTCAAGCCGATTAGTCAAACGATAAAGAGCTTGGTGAGTCTGGTCGAACGCTTACATTGACCGGTACACTGGACACGCTCAATGCACCGTATTGCAGCCTTCGATCGAGAATGCGCTGAATCATCCAGAAGGCATTAATGACCGTCTGCTTCTGGTGAGGATAAACACAGATCCAATTGGAGAGAACATCTTACTCACCTACTTTGGTAACAGCTAGAGAATCTGTTAACACTGATGTCCGAACTCGGGACCAGTACAAATGAAAAGTATCGAGAGATCAGCAGTGACCTTCAACGCTTGACCATTGACTTCCGTAGGTGGCTGACTTTTCGTAGCGCGTGTGATACTAACAAAGTGAATCTAGTATACAAGGATCTTCCGCATCCTCCGAGTGGATATCTGGCACTTCCTCCATTTTCCCAGACTCCACCAGTTGAAGCTCCAACCTCCTACACTCCGGGAAGTTATGTCAATTATGCTTACCGCTCGGCCGATGGAAGTTATTATAACCCTCTGATTCCATCGATGGGTCAAGCTGGTACTCCTTACGCACGCTCTGTTCCTGGTACAGCTCAGACGAATCTCAAAAATCTTCCTGATCCTGGTCTGGTATTTGACACGCTGCTGAAGCGACCAACCAAAGCCGAAGGAAGTGGCGAAGAAGAAGACGGATTTACTCCCCATCCCGGAGGAGTTTCAAGCTTGTTCTTCGCCCTTGCCGACCTCATCATCCATTCGATCTTTAATACCAAGCCCCAAAACCCTACTGTCAATAACACTTCTTCATACTTAGACTTAAGCGTACTCTATGGAAGCAGCGAAAAGGAAGTTCAGAGCGTCCGGAGAAAAGACGATAAAGGAAGACCAGATGGTACTGGTAGACTTTACGAAGATGTTTTTGCTGATAGCCGTCTGTTGCTCATGCCGCCTGCTGCATGTGCTCTTCTAGTGCTTTTTTCCCGTAATCATAATGTGCGGCGCATATACTTGTTTTTATTTTTAACCTATCAACTCATTTGCTCCTAGTTTGTTGCGCAACGGATCCTCCAAATCAATGAATGGAATACCTACAAAAATCCAGAATCACTGAAGGCTCAAATCGACAAGGGCTCTTCTTCTGCGGCCTCTGACGAGGAACAGACAGCCGCTGCTCAAGCTAGGGTTGCTCTTCAGGCACAAGACGATGAAATCTTTCACCGTTCGAGACTGGTAAACTGCGGTTTCTTCATGAAGGTCATCTTAGGTGACTATGTCGGTGCTATACTTGGACTTGCAAGGGACGGAAGTAGCTGGCGTCTCGATCCTCTTGTGGAGATGCGTCGTCTAAGTCATGAATTTTCTCCCCGAGGTGAAGGAAACGTTGTCTCTATTGAGTTCAACCTTCTTTACCGGTGGCACGCCACGTTGAGTAGACAAGACAAAAAATGGACAGAGAAGATGTTCCAGGAGACCCTACAGAAAGATGGCATCAATGTACAGTTTGATCAGGTAAATCTCCCCTAAATCTGCATGTTTCCCCACTGACATAGTCTTCAGTTGAACCCTTCGCAGTTCTTTATGGCTGCAGGCAAAGCTTTGGGCCAGAATAAGGACGTTCGGACCTGGACTTTCGACGGGTGAGTTTGTTTCTTTGCAAACATGTCTGCATGATGCTGATCAAGTCTACGTATATAGACTCAAGAGGGATGGTAGCGGTAGCTTCTCTGATGCAGACATTGTCAAAATTCTGCAAGATTCCACTTCATATCGAGCGGGAGCCTTCCGGGCTCGTGGTATCCCGGACGTTCTCAGAGTCATAGAGATTCTTGGTATCGAGCAAGCCAGAGGTTGGGGTGCTTGTTCTGTACGTGGCGCGCCGTCGTTACAGATGCTTATCGCTCATCTGTCGTTTACAGTTGAACGAATTTAGAAAATTTATTGGCCTAAAGCCATACAAATCATTCAAGGAATGGAACAATGATGATTCAGTTGCAGTTAGTGCTCTTTGATTTACCAACTGGATGCCCCTTATAAGTTAACTGTGTGTGATTCTAGAAAGCAGCCGAAGTCCTTTATAAGGATATCGACAACCTCGAGCTTCACGTAGGAATGCAGGCTGAGCAAGCAAAGGTCCCAGGTCCTGGTGCAGGCTTGTGTCCGGGTTACACGATCTCTCGGTCGATCCTCGCTGACGCTGTGTGTCTCACACGTGGTGATAGATTTTTGACCGTTGATTTCACTCGTGAGTGCATTTATGCATTTATTCTGAGAAATCTGTTTCAAATTTGGTCCGCCATTGATAGCATTTAACCTTACAACTTGGGGCTTCGCGGATTGTCAATACCCCACTGCTCCGGATGGCTCCTACGGAGGGATGCTCACTAAGTTATTGTTCCGTCACTTCCCTGCATACTACCCAGCTCGATCGGCGTATGCACATTTCCCGTTCCTTGATCCTGTTTACATGGAGAAAGAATTACAGAAGAGAGGTATCGCTGATCAGTATATCTGGACGAGGCCACGTCCTGCTGTAGGTGTACAGGAGGGAGAAGTTTTGGTCATTAATAATTACGAGGAGGTGACGAAGATCTTAAGCGCACCCCAAGATTGGAGATCGGACTACGATATCAAACTGGGTACTGTTGTCGCTGGACTAAAAAGTCCAAACCTCCCCGATATGACACTTGTGGGTACCTTCGTTACTAGGTTTTGACTGCACTTCATGTACCTCACGAACAGGTCAACAAACTACTGCACGATTCTAGCGACAAATGGCCCTCTTTCTTCGTTCGACAAACTCAAAATCTCCTCAAAGATAGGTGCGTTGGTCATGCGGGTTCGCAAGCCAATTTGAAGTTTGTGGACATCGTGAGTGACGTGATCAACGTACTTCCTGTTCGTTGGATTTGTCAAGAGCTGGTAAATCTGAAATATTGATTGGAAAGTCTCTTCGTACTTAACACCATGGTATAGGCTGGGCTCGAACTCGGAAAGGACTATCCAGAGAGCGAATACATCACTGAGCTGAACAATGTCTGTCGGTATGCATATAATCTCACTTCATCCGATGCTATTGGCTGATCTATCTGTGAAATTTGCAGTTACGTCTTCTTGGACTGGGATCCTGTCTATGACTGGCAGCTCCGCGAAAGTTCAACAAATTTCTTCCGTGAATTTAACAAAGATGTCAAGCATCACCTGGAAACTGAGTCGGGCTTTGTTAGTCTTTGAAATATCCTTCTTGAATGACTGGCTGATCTTATTCATCTAGATCTCCAACACGATCAGTCACTTCAAAAAGCCGCTTCCAAAAAGACCAGCGTTCCTCGAGAGGCTTCACAAAGAGGGTCATGAGAGGCGTGCGGACGAACTTGCAACGGCGTTGTTTTGTGCGGTGGTGCCTACGGCCGCGCACTGGGCTCAAAACGTTGCCCATATCGTGAATTACTTCATCGAGGCAGGGAGAATAGAAGAAAGGGCGGAGCTCGTGGCACTTGTGAAGGAGGGCAAGATAGATGGTCGGGCCATGGACCTGATCAAGAATGCTTTAGGTCGGCATCTTCACGTATCAAACAATCAGTCTCTCATTACTGGACTCCCGTAGTTGTTGACCCAGCCGTTTTCGCCGCGCAACGTACAGCTCTGAGAGGCACCTCGATAGCTAGACGAGACGGCAGCAATGTCGTTGCTGGTGAGACCGTTTTCGTTGATATCTTCGAAGCCAATGTAGGTGTCGTGGTCTTGGTCGTTATTGCATGCAAGACTGATCCACATCTAACAGGCAAATAGGCCTAATGGCAAGCCCGGCATCCATACTGCCGGGGAGCATGGATAGTAAGAATTTAGATCATTTGTTAATCTAGTTTCATTGACGTACTCTTTGTTCAGTTTGCTGTCCTCCGAATTCTTCGAAAGAGTATGAAACACCTGTCTTAAAAGGTACATTCACTCACACTCCTCCATAGGTTACTCCCCTAGTTGTTGCCGAAATCCTCGCTCTATCAAACCTCCAGCGGGGTCCTGGAGCGTCCGGAGTCTTCACACGCTTTACTCAAAACCTTCATGGTGCTCCTGAGCAGGTTTATGTTGATGCTCGTGGAGGACTAACGCCATTCCCTACTTCACTTACTATTTCGGTACGTTCTTTGTAGATTTTGGAAGCATGAGCTCACAAAGCCCGCATCTGAATCTTTAGTTCACCTCATGATACTGTCAAGATGGCGCTGGAATCTGGATAGCTTTGTTACATACTGTATTCTAGAATAAACTGTACCATTCGAAATGTTTTTGAGTAATAATGAGTTGGTCATCTGAATTGCTCATCGCCCTGCGAATCTGCGAGCACAGTTGATTACCTCTTGAATTCTTTCTTCTGTTCACCATGCAGCACCTTGGGAAAGCTGCTCTGCGGGTCACCAAGAACTACACCAAGGGTTATTCAGACACTCAGGCTAAAGTACGAGATGCGACTTCCAACGATCCATGGGGCCCATCTGGAACGCAAATGAACGAGATTGCACAGTTGACGTATAATCAGTGAGTATCGACCAGCTGTGCGTTACTCACAACAGTGTGAGGATCTTACTTCTACTGCCTAGGGGGGACTTCGTGGAAATTATGGAGATGTTAGACAAGAGGTTGAACGACAAAGGCAAAAACTGGAGGCATGTTTTCAAGGTATGATTGAGTTTACATTCAGCACAAGAGTTCTAACCCTGAGATCTTTTCAGAGTTTGACTGTTCTAGACTATTGTCTTCATCAGGGCTCAGAGAATGTTGTCATTTATTTCCGGGATAACATATATGTCATCAAGACTCTGAAGGAGTTTCAATACGTCGACGAAGATGGCAAAGACCAGGGAGCTAATGTCCGTCAAAAGGCCAAAGATATAACGAATCTCCTTCAGGACGAGTCTCGACTTCGCCAGGAGCGTCGCGCTCGTGCCTCAATGCGAGACCGAATGATTCGTGGCGCCACCGGAGACGGTGATAATGAAGATCCAGACGACGAAAACGATCGGCGACGGACCCAGGAGCCCCGTGCATCGAGGCGGAATAAGGACGAGGATGATTTGCGGAAAGCGATTGAGGAGAGCAAAAAGTCACTGGCGCAGGATCGTATGACTGCGGAGGACAGGGATTTACAACAGGCGATCAAACTTAGCGAGGAGGAAGAGGCAAAGCGAAATAAAGCTGTTGAGGATTCTAATGCGTCTGCACTCTTCGACGACAGTAGTCAACTGTAAGAAAAACCTCAATGTTCCAAGATCTAACTTCTAACGTAGTTCCGCAGTATCTCAGGCAACAACACTCAAATCAACAATAATCCATTTCCGACAACTATGACCGACCCTATGGCATATACTGTCGGTCTCCAACCACAGTTTACTCAGATACAACCACAGTTCACTTCGTTCAATCCTTACCAACAACAAATGCAGCAGATGCAGCAGGAGGCGGCTCAAGCTGAGTTCTTCCGTCAGCAACAGGAGCTCCTCCAACAGCAGCAAGCTGCACAACAAGCTCAGCTTCAGCAGGAAGAGTTTATGCGACAACAAATGCTCTTCCAGCAGCAGCAACAACAGCAGGGCCTGTTCGCACAGCAGCAACCTCTAATGGCGCAGCCTACAGGATTTGGGTTTGTCACTCATGTCCTTCATCTCTCTTACCATCCTGACATACCAAATTATTATAGGTCTAATAATCCTTTCGCTCCCCGTCCAGTTTCGTCTCCGATTTCACAGTCTAACACCCAAAACCCCCCGCAGTTCAACCTGCAAGGAACGTATGATAACCATAATGCAGATAACCAGCAGAACCTCAGTCACCCCTCCAGTGCATTTTCACATTCACCGTCACCTGGACCTTCGCAACCGCAAGGTGGACGACAATTTGCGGTCAAACCAAAGACGAACGAAAACCAGGAGCTTGCCAATCTGTTCGCAGATCGGGAGGGTGGTCAGGATACGTTTGGAAATGTCGGACAATTGAGGTGCGCTGCTTTTTCTTCATAATTCCCCTTGATTAACTTGGTTCTGCATAGATATGGCCATTCCAACGCAAATCGCTTGATCGCTCAGCAGACAGCTAACAGTGGACACAATCCCTTTGCAATGCAGCAGCAGCAGCAGAGTAACGAACAGCCTTTTTTCAGTATATAATTCACCTTTGTATCGACCGCCATGGATTGTCGTTCGCGCTACCTCGAATACTTAATTCTCCCCTGTACCACTTCCTTAGCTACTCTCTTCGTACTATCTGCTTTTGAAATGTTTTATCTTCCGGATACAATGACGATATGGATACCTACGCTCAGGCTTAATTTCTATACTTCTGATTCGTCCTAGAGAGGAAACTCGCAGCACGGAACAAAGCCTGAATTTATTGGGCGCCAAAGTGCCGTTACTTTCTAGTCGCCTTCCAGCAATGGCTATGGTGAAGCTTCCTCATAATAAACGACGAAAGCTTTCGACGTCGCCAAAGCTCCCATCCATGCCTTCACCACCAATGATTTTTTCTCATCCTTCTGCTAATCCCAAGAATGCAGCATTGACATGTTCCTCGTGCCACCGCCATGCGCAAAACGCGTCGAGATCATTTATTGTGTTTTGTGCAAGGTTCAGGCTTCTTCCTTTACTCCCAGCTTTCTGCTAATACAGCTAGATCATTCGAATAGGTGTGGGTCCCCGACATGTACGATTTGTTCTCGAACGTGTAGTGCATCAACTCCTTCCGCTACTCATTTGAACTGGGGGCCTTCTACGAATACTGGGCCTAATTCAAATCCCCTTCGACAACCCCAGTCGCAATCACTTCAGCGGTTTGCGTTGACCCTTAACTCTGCCAATACGAATATAGCTGGGTATGCTAACGCTGTTGGAAAGAGGAAGAAATCAAAGGACGATGATTCACTATCAGAAAGAGATTGCGCGATACGGCTTGAACATGTGAATGAGAGTGGAGAAGCTGAACTCGGTGGAAGTTGCGGACGGACGGTGTGCAAAAGTTGTTGTTTCGAAAGTAATCTAAAGTAAGTTTAAGTTTGGGGAAATACTCTTTGATTGGAACTCTGCTCATGAGTACTTTCAGCGACAATGTCACTTGTTATGACTGTTATGGAGGTTTTTGAGCTTTCCTCTACTGTATTTCCATCGCAGTTTCACTGCACCGCTTCATGCATTACGACACTCTAAGCCTCTTCATTGCGCTCATCTATGTATTACTGCCCATTGTTCAGTCTACTGTATCGATCGTTTTACACTGTAATAGACCCAAATTTCCTATTCAAGCTGTGATATCTTTCGCTTTGACAGTTATCTAATGAACTTATCTCAAGAGTTTTGAGCAGTATCGAAGGTAACGGTACAGGAAGGCACTGAAGATAAAGATATGAAGAAAGCCTGCTTTCAGAGCGACCTAAAGTTTTGGACCCCAGATTCCGATGATTTATAACGTACTCTGCAGTTTTTCTCTTTTTCTCAGATTGCACTAGGGTAGCTAACACTCTCGCTGAGATGTTCATTCGCTGGGTTATAAGTGAAACCTCTGAACTGGTCCTGTACGGTCTCCGATAAAGCAGAGTCGGTGACAACTGAATCCTGAGCCTCTTCGTTGGTAAAATCCGGATCAAAGTTCGCGACATCGAGCACTGATTCCTGAGGAAACAGAGATTTAGTGATAAGTCAGAAAGAGTCGAGAGGAGTGTAGCGTACAACACTAGGTTTGAAAGGCGGCGGATAACCTTTCTTGATCAATCTGAGGGCCAGACGGACAGTCAAAAATGTCAAGACGTATGATATGTGTACCCGCTCACCTTTCCCAGTCGATGTATTTTGCGAAGAAGGGATGTCGCTTGATTTCTTCACCTCCGTTGGCCCCCAATCGCTTGGCCGGATCACGTTGTAACAGCCCAGTCATGACGCTTCGCGCCTCGGACGGCATATCAGGAGGGAAGTTGAGTGGGTCTGTTAGAATTCGTTGATACATTGTGTTTACGTTGTCATCATAGAATGGAGGGAGACCGGTCTGGTATATTTCATTCTGAAAGTGTCATTTCGAGAAAGGAATAACGTGGCCTACCATCATCTCGTACAGCAAAACGCCCAAGGTCCACCAGTCGACAGTTTTCGTATATCCTTGACTTTCCAGGAGTTCGGGAGCGATATATTCGGGAGTGCCACAAAAGGCTGAAGGCAAGATGAGTTCAAATGCAAAACACATTACAATGATCACTTACTATTGGTTTTCTCGGTTTCGGACATGTTGAGCTTACACAATCCTAGATCATTCGAAGTGTCAGACGATAAACAAATTGTGAAAACAGAGGCGAAATCTGTACCGAAATCACACAAAGCAATATGACCTGTATAATCCAAAAGGATATTTTCAGGCTTCAAGTCACTAGAGCATGATCAGAGACACAACGAACAAAGAAAGGAAGTGAGTGTTCGTACCGATAGACAACGTTGAATCCATGCAAATGCTCCAACGCCACAAGAAGTTCAGCGGCGTAGAACCTGCTGCGATCCTGATCGAATTTTCCTTCCCTTTGAAGATGATAGAAAAGCTCTCCGCCATTGACTGAGCGGTCAGAGTCAGAAATGCCACGATGTACCTATGACGTGGGACGCTCACCGAAAGACATAACCAAATAAAGTTTATCTGGATTTTGAAAGGAGAACTTGAGTGGAACGATGAACGGATTGTTGACGAGGGCTAGAACAGTGCGTTCTGCAAGAATGTGCGTGATTTCTCCGGGGCGTTGAGCAATATGGGCTTTACGGATAGTCTTGAGCGCGTATATGCGCTGCGTGTCTTTTTTGCGGACTTGCATGACCTTTCCAAAGCTACCTTTACCAATGACTTTGAGAAGATCGAATGCTTCAATCGTTAAGGTTTCGTTTCGGGTGGGTTTGAAGTCGATTTTGAGATGGAAGGAGCCGGATCCGGCGGTTGCGCTGTACCATTGATCTGATGCGTGCTGAACGAGAATAAGATAATGGCCAGATACAGAAAGAAGGGGAAACAAAGAATCTTACATGACCGTCAAGCACTGGTGTCAAATCGACACGGCCCAGAAGAAGATCGTTGCCCATATCATCAGGACCCTGCATCGCAACGGTTCGCAAATAAGCGGATACTGATATTGTGGAAGTACGAGAGACATCACTGGATAGATAAGTAAGAGACAGGGATTGAGAAAGAAGTAGCACCATACGCACAAGTTTGCTTTGTAGTTCCAGACTGGACTAGCCAGATCGCCCCCCATTGCGTCAATCAAGATTTCGTTCTTGTCGAATTCAAGCACAACGTAAGGAAGCCACCAGTAACGTTTCCGTTGCATACTTTCTCGGTTACTTGTGGAGCGTCTAGGTGGTGTTGATTCGAGAGCTTTCTGGATAACATCTGGAAGAGGAACGTTTGGAGGAAGCGAAAGACTACGGCCTGGTAGAATATGTATGACAACTCTGGAGAACAAGTGCTTGAAGCTGGAAACGTACCAGAGAAGATGCGGATGGTGAGCATTCCTGACCTAAACTGGTCGGTGCCATTGGAAGGTCGGGGAGTAGTTGAACGTGAAGGTATGGGTGTGACCGATCTGGATGGGTTGAGCCCACTATCCTTGGGTTCCTTTCCTAAACTGAGAGCTGAACAAGGGCGAAAGACGAAAGTTGTCTATAGAGAATGCACCTTTCCCAAGTTTCCAAGACATTGAAAGAGGTAGAAGTAAGGCGAGGTGGTGGTAGTGCGGAAGAGAGATTGGATTAGAAAGCGACTGCGACTAACCAAACATCGGTATTATAAGATCGGATTTGAACCATATTTACCATACAGTATATTCGCTCTGCATGTATCGTTGCCGCGACCATCATAATAAGAAGATTACGATTACGATTACATGTAGTAACTTGAGACCAGCTCACTAAATTATAATAGTGATACGAGAAAGTATGTACTGCAGGAAACATATAACTTGTCACGGAAACTTCAGAGGCGGCACAGAGTAATCCTTAAGAGTAAATTGGGGTAACTGAGTAGGGGCGTTAACTGCCATAGCGAAGTTTCAAGGGTTGGGCCGGGAGCTGACGGAGTTCTCACGTGCACCTTCCGACTTTTTGCGTCGCGCTGTAATACTAACTCAGTTCCAGCTCTCTCCTCTTCCATGTCTTCGCTAGCCCGTCTTCGCTTTTCTCGTCGCGTCGCTCGAGTAGTGCGTACTTAAATGTGAAGGAGTACTCCTTCTAACGTTGATTCTTAGCCATTCATTCGAACCATCCAAACGACTGCCGACACTACGCAACTGCAAGACAGTGCTCATGAGACCGAGCCTTTCTGGGTGAAGATTCACGAAGACTCATTCCAGACCTACAACTGCGACAAGCCAGAGCTCGATGTTAAGGTAACAAAAAATGAGCTTTTGGACATGTATAGGCAGATGCAAACCATGCGTCGGATGGAGATGGCTGCTGACGCTTTGTACAAAGCTAAAATGATTCGAGGGTTTTGTCACTTGGCTATTGGACAGGTGAGCTACTCCCTTTCTTTAACGAAGATTCTTGTACTTGATGATTCGGCTATAGGAAGCAGTCTCTGTCGGTCTTGAACACGGTATCACCAAAAACGACAAAGTCATTACTTCATACCGTTGTCACCCTCTGGCTGTTCTTCGTGGGGGAACGATACAGGGCGTTATCGGAGAGCTCTTGGGTCGCCAAATAGGAATGTCTCGCGGCAAGGGTGGTTCAATGCACATCTTCACTCCTTCTTTCTTTGGAGGAAACGGAATTGTTGGCGCTCAGGTTCCGCTAGGCGCAGGCATCGCCTTTGCTCAAAAGTACAATGAAGAGGCGACGTGCACTTTTGCCATGTATGGTGACGGTGCTGCTAACCAGGGTCAAGTATTTGAGGCTTTCAACATGGTATGTTCATACGCTCATTCGGTCGCCAGTAATATGTGACCGATATTGTTGCAGGCAAAGCTTTGGGACCTCCCTTGTGTGTTTGTTTGCGAAAATAACAAATACGGTATGGGTACGTCTGCTGAGCGCAGTTCCTCCAACACGCAATACTTTACCCGTGGCGACAAAATCCCCGGCCTTCAGGTTCAAATATATCATGGCACACGTTTGACATTTAGTTCTCATTGTTTTCATTTTAGGTCAATGGAATGGATATCATTGCAGTCAAACAGGGTGTCGAATACGCTAGGAAATGGACTGTTGAAGACAAGAAAGGTCCTCTCCTACTTGAATTCGTCACTTACCGATATGGAGGCCACTCGTGTGTACAGCTTTCGCCCATCTCTTATTCAAACCCTAATCATCCTTTCAGAATGTCGGACCCTGGTACTACCTACCGTACTCGCGAGGAAGTTCAGAGGATGCGAAGTACGCAAGACCCCATCCGTGGCCTCCAACGTTATATCGAGGAGTGGGGACTTGCTTCTGAGCAGGATCTCAAGGTGCGTCCTTAGAGAATGAGTCTAAAGATATATCTCTCAAGTCCAGCCTTCCAGCAAATTGACAAGGATGCTAAAGCCACCGTTGATACCGCAGTTGAGGAAGCCAAGGCGTCACCAATACCCAATACTCAGGACTTGTGGACCGATATTTACTATGCCGGAACTGAGCCATCCTTCATGAGAGGCAGGGAACGAGAAGAGGTTCGTTTCGATGAGCGTATGTCGTTAGACATTATTGATTCACCACACTTTCAGGTTCACCATTATTAGCTTCTTGCGTTAGATGGGGGAGCATGATCATTTTAGATGCTGGTATATATACTTTCTACTTGCAATTGAAGCCGTCATTCATGAGACGCTGTTTGTTTGATAGCCTAATCATTACATAATATTGTGTACCGAGAGTTGAACATGCCAGGGATTTTGAAAGTTCTTCAAAAAACTATGTACAGTCATTCCCACCTCCTTTATACAGTCAAATCTAGTTGCACCTTGGAATGGGCAAGCAAAGCATCTTTTTCAAATCCGATTTGATAGAAAGTAGGTATAAACCATACTACCGCAATCGAGAGTTAGCTGCCTCGCTTATCAAACTTCGGCGTGCCGTGCCGATATTTTAGTTGATCCAATGGTTGATGGGTTGGGGGTTGCCGCCCAGAATCAAATTATAGTAATTACTATGGTTCACAGGGTACTTCCGATTTCTTGAATATTGCGAATAATGTCTTAAATTTTTGAGTAAATAAAAATCTGAGTAGACAGTCTTATTTAGAATCATGTTAAGCTTGTCTTTTGTCTTACATGTTAAAGCAGATAAGGCATAAACAGAGCGTCGGACCATGACCGAGGAAAAACAGGGTACTTCCGCATCTTGGGTCACACTGAGTCACATCAATGCCGCTGCTCGGCACTCTGGCACACTTGGCCATTTGATGCAGGGTTGAGGCAGAACTTGTGTTGATCACGCTTTTGGAGAGTGTCAGAGGTTTGCCGAGGCTACGGCATGAAGCTGGAATCAAATATTGTCACGTCGCATACCCTCTTCACTTTATCTGCTTGTCGAATCTCTACAACATATTGGATTGCTTTTAAATTTGCTATGCTAGCTGATGAGAACCTCTACTTAATGCCCATGTCATTTTTACAGCTATCTACCAGCTCTTCGTACGGTTACTGAGGCTTCAATCTAAAGTCACGCTTGTATATTACAGTATTTTGGTTTTGTACATATGCATCCCCTGAATACAATCTATTTCATATAGTACAGTATGTCTATAGAACCTAGAAAGTACTACATAAAAAGTCTGAGAGCATTTATCGACCTAAAACGTTCAAAATATGAGATTTTCAAAAATGCGGAAGTACCCTGTTTACGGAAGTACCCTGTGAACCATAGTATCTTTTTTTGGTTGGTCCATTGACTTTGACTTCAGGCAAGAGGTGAGGGAGATTCAGATCAGGGGTGTCATAAAGTACGCAGCCCCTATCATTTTCCTTTTCTCATCGTCTCGACGCCTTTACTTGTACGATACATCATCCCATCACTGTCAAACCCCCATCGATTACTGATCCACCTGACCCATCTTCTCCTTCTATTGGCTTCCGCCACCTTCCTTGTTCCTAAACTGTACAGTATTACATCGTTGTTTCTCGCAGACCGGATTATGTATATATAGCCAACCCTCCACAGCCTGGTCCCTTATCTTGACCTCTCTGTCATTATCTGGGACCAGGTATGTGCTTACTTATTATTACCTATGACTACGATACTCAATATATCTCTGTCATTATCTGGGACCAGCCTGCCGCCGTTCTGCTTAGTTGCTCCGCCTTGTTGCCTTGTCCAGTTGCTCCGCCTCACCGTTCTGCTTAGTCGCTCCGCTTTCCCGCTCCGTTAGTCACTCCGCCTCTGCCGCTTCGTGACAAGGGGTACTTATGTTGCCACGCAAAAGGCCCTAACCAAGCCCCAGCCGAGCTGCATGGCATCTTATGACGGCTTGAGAGACCATAAAACTTGGTTGAAATCTTCGAATACTTGTTTTCATGTCACTTATTGATGATATCCAACTACTTAGGTACAGTCTGGAAGGTATATGCAAGCTTGAAAGGCATTTGAGAGAGTTCCGCAACCTCTAGTCAACAGACCCTGCCTGGACTCTCTATTCATTGGAGGGGGGGTCATGAGAATCATGTCCCCGATCTGAATCTCCCTCACCTCTTGACTTCAGGTATGTAGAATGCCATATGGCCCTGTTCGGGAACCCAAGTTAAAAACTCACCTAATGTCACATCAGGTGATGATGGAAGTGACTTTTTTTCTTTGCCTTTTTTACAGTTGATTCTGAAAATAATGGGAATATCAGAATTTTTTTATGGAATCAAAAAAACAGTGCGCCTTACAGGCACTGACATTGAATGTTTTTTGAGAAAAGCTAAATAAAAGCAAATTTACATAAGTTATTGATAATCAAGTGAGACAAGAGAAGAAATAATTGTGACAAGCTTTAGAACCTGTGCCTTCACCACAGTGGCTTGCTTTGCTCACACCGTGTGCTACAGCAGGGTTCACAGCTTGTTGGGGTCAAGCCCCCAAAGCTCCATTAGTCCTTGCTTTGCTCCTTCACACTTATTTTTAGTTATTGCTTCGAATTAATGCCCAAGTGTCATTGCAGAGGCTGGCAGTTGGATCCAGATTCCTGAGTATCATTTTCAATTTTAAACAGGAAGTCCAGAGCCATTGATACTGTTGAGATACTCAATAGGATACTGAAAATCACTGGCATGAGCAAACATGAGCATTGTCAGAGCTGTTGCAACGAGGCAGGAAGCAGGAGGCGGGAGGTCCGGATATGCCTAGGAGCAACAGTGGCAGAGCGAAGAGGCACAGAAACAAGCACAAAGCACAGATGAAAGAAATAATGATCTCAAACAACAGTGGGATAGCGTCAGAGGCCAATCACACCAGTAATCAAAAGGGAATCTAGTTGCCCAATGACCAAGTTAGATAAGTAGTATCTAAAAGGATACAAGTACTTGCCTAGTTGCCCAATGACCAAGAGGTCAAGATGGGGAACTAGGATCTGTCTACTGTCTTTTATATACTACTCTTGTCTAATGAGTAAGTGATTGTAAATAATGATGCGATATAAAACAAGAGTGAGGAATCAATATATACGAGTAATAATGAGTTGATAATGAATCATAATGAGCTAATCAATGAATAAGGATGAGTTGTATGGAAGCATATGGAAACAAATGGAACTAGTGGGATGATTGTGTAATAAAGTACAATAAACATGTGAAAAGAGATTGATGGGAACATACCACTGATGGCGCATCAAAAGGGCGCATCATGAGACTTTACCCCCTTCCTTAGAGTTGATGTCCCAGTGACTAGCTATTCACTTTGGTGAAGTTAACCACCGGCTGCCATGGTAGTGAGTAAAAGATCGTTGCCGAAATCTTCCTTGGTGCATTTAGATGTGCTGCATAAAATTTGTTAATGGCTTCGTCACTGGATCTTACCACATTTTCCTCATTTTCCCAGGTGTCATGGTCCTCATCGTAGCCTTTCCACCGGACCAAGTACTGCAGCTTTTTCCACTGTCCATGTATCCTGCTGTCCAGGATCCTGTCTACGTTGACACGCCTAAATTTTGGCTAGACGTCTATGCTGTGAATTGTGACATTTTCACGTATAGATTTGTATCAAGAGGACTGTAATTGAGACCCAGATTGACAGTCAAAGTCAATACTGAATCAGTCTAATAAGTTGAAGGGACCATATACCCATACTACCACAAGTTGGTTAGTTTACCCATCCCTGATACTACCTTTGGATAGCAGTCTACCTGTTGGTCAAGCAGGATTATACCAGACTCGGACTACATCCGAAGGATGACCATTCAGATATGACATACCAAGGGTATTCTTATTGGACCTTACACTGGCAGGAGTTTGGAAGAACTTACTCAAGTGACCATGAGCCGAGGATTGACTCGAAATGACTTTCTAGAACTCAGGAATTATCAAATACTCCTTCTAGAACGAGATCATGCATTAACCTAAAAGACTGCGATTTAGTCTAATAGACCAATCAAGTTGCATGGTTGAGGAAAATGACTAGAAGAACGATCGAAGTACTGCGAGGCTCCGAAGACATATCAAATGAATGTCAAAGAGTCCTGACGTAGAAAATATTGAAGAATGCAATTAAATGAATACTATGCGTAACTCCCTTGATAGAGTATAGGCACAATGGGTGTCTGTTGAAAGAGAGAAGCAATTAGTTTAATCTAGATGAATCAGATTGATAGGATTAGAATCGAGGAGAGCTGATTTGCCTCCGGACGAGGTGACAAATGATCGAAGTAAGCATTGAACAGCAATGACAGTTGAACACCATTCGAGTCATTTCTCCAAAACAATTAAATTAAATGAATAACGAAGTACCTACCTATGTTTGGAGGTATACTTGAATCTTGGAACCATTATGAACCAAATAAGGACATGTAGATTCAAATTAAATGGTATCTGACCGAGTGTAGAAGTTTTCTTGCGGTTCCGAACATTTATTGTATTAAATTAATTGTACTGTGCGACTCTATATTCTGTATGTATAAATAGCGATCTGATGTATCTGGAATACAAGTGATTTTGGGACGACGTTGCAGTGCTAATCCGTAAAAAGGAAAGACACACTCCCGCCAGACTGAAACCTCTTCACTAGCAGCCATTCGGGCCCGGCACTTGTGAGTATAGGAACATTGTGTTCTGCTCCTTGTGACTGTGAGAAGTATATCCAGTTGTTGGGTATTCTTTGAACTTAGGATCAGTTGTTGGTCTTAAGGGCAAATCACACTGTGTGGTTGTGCCAGCACATAGTTTTAGCCCTCCGTAGGGGTCTGTGTGTTTCGGTTTTAATTTACTTTGATTCAAAAACCCCAATTTGTGATATACCCATATCAATACAAACCAAAGCACAAATCGTGCTGAATCTATCTTGATCAAAGGAATATATCGAATCCTTAGAACGATTCAAATTGATTGATTAAAGCTTCTTACTTAGCTCTCAAAGCTTTGCGGAACCTTTGCCAACGCTACCCCTTGCTATTAAATAAATTTGATAGCAGTGAACTCGCATATTGTGTATTAGATTGGTTGGTTGGAGTGCCCATTAGATTCCATTCCTTTCTCTTTCACACAAAAACGAGGCAAGCTCGTTAATGTTAAGATCATGTACACCGTGTAACCGTGCCAAAGCCACAAGGTGTCTAAGTGCGGAAGACGAGTGAGACAGTAGTCAAGTTATTAACAACACCGCCGTTACGCCGTTAGTCCCCGGAGATCGAGAGTATAAGGAGAGGAGCTGAGGAGCAGCCAAGTCGGAGCGGCGGTATCGCTGATGACAAGGAGCGGACCAGAGAACGTTCAAGTCCTAAGGTCGAGTGGAACGTACTTCAAGGCGTTGAGCCTGAAGACTTAGAGAAGAGTTAAGTTGGGAAGGGAGATCTAAGTTGATCTAAGTTGATAATTAAACTGAGGAACTACAGTAGCGTACAGGCAGTATTTATATCTACGGAACGGCGCAGCGGAGCGGAGCGCCAGACTAACTACTAGGAGCTATACGAGTAGTACCTGCAGGGTAAAGTGAAAGACAATAAGGAGGGACTAGAACGAAAGGGTATGTGTAGCGAGAAAGAACAATAAGGAGAGATTACAATAAAGGTAGATCTTCGGAATACCGTGCGGCG